CCGTGTTACGGACTTTTAGAATGTCAGGGAAAGAGTTAGTCAAAGAAACAGTTAGTCAAAGAAACAGTTAGTCAAAGAAAGAGTTAGTCAAAGAAAGAGTTAGTCAAAGAAACAGTTAGTCAAAGAAACAGTTAGTCAAAGAAAAGAAGTCAAGAAAGAGTTAGTCAAAGAAAGAGTTAGTCAAAGAAAGAGTTAGTCAAAGAAAGAGTTAGTCAAAGAAAGAGTTAGTCAAAGAAAGAGTTAGTCAAAGAAACAGTTAGTCAAAGAAACAGTTAGTCAAAGAAAGAGTTAGTCAAAGAAAGAGTTAGTCAAAGAAACAGTTAGTCAAAGAAACAAAGAAAGAGTTAGTCAAAGAAAGAGTTAGTCAAAGAAACAGTTAGTCAAAGAAACAGTTAGTCAAAGAAAGAGTTAGTAAAAGAAAGAGTCAGTCAAAGCAACAGTTAGTCAAAGAAACAGTTAGTTAAAGAAAGAGTTAGTCAAAGAAAGAGTTAGTCAAAGAAACAGTTAGTCAAAGAAAGAGTTAGTCAAAGAAACAGTTAGTCAAAGAAAGAGTTAGTCAAAGAAAGAGTTAGTCAAAGAAAGAGTTAGTCAAAGAAAGAGTTAGTCAAAGAAAGAGTTAGTCAAAGAAAGAGTTAGTCAAAGAAAGAGTTAGTCAAAGAAAGAGTTAGTCAAAGAAACAGTTAGTCAAAGAAACAGTTAGTCAAAGAAAGAGTTAGTCAAAGAAACAGTTAGTAGTAAAGAAAGAGGTAGTCAAAGAAAGAGTTAGTGAGGGAAAGAGTTGGTGAGGGAAAGAGTTAGTCAAAGAAAGAGTTAGTGAGGGAAAGAGTTTGTCAGGGCATTGTGATTTGCAACTGTAGGATCGTTCCCGCAATGTAAATGGGATTGCAAGTGGTGCTGGTGGAGGAGTTGCCGATGGGGTTTTGCAGGAAGTCTCGCACGAAATGCGTTTTTGAGAGATAGCAGATGCACGAAACCCTATGTTTTTCCATACAAAGTGCGTCCCCGAACCTCGATGATCTACCTCTGCGGTGCGACGGGTGCGAGACGGTCTCGTGTGTGGTCGGATCATTCTCGGATATTCTCGGATCATGGTCGGATCGGTTCCGCATTGTAAATGGGGTTTCAACTGTTTTTCGTGCATGTGTGGTCGACAGAATTCCATTGTGATTTGCAACTGTAGGATCGTTCCCGCATTGTAAATGGGATGCAAGTGGTGCTGGTGGATGAGTTGCTGATGGAATTGCATTGTGATTTGCAACTCTAGGATCGTTCCCTCACTGTAAATGGGATTGCAAGTGGTGCTGGTGGATGAGTTGCCGATGGAGTTTTGAAGGAAGTCTCGCACGAAATGCGTTTTTGAGAGATAGCAGATGCACGAAACCCTATGTTTTTCCATACAAAGTGCGTCCCCGAACCTCGATGATCTACCTCTGCTGTGCGACGGGTGCGAGACGGTCTCGTGTGTGGTCGGATCATGCTCGGATCATGTTCGGATCATGGGCGGATCATGGTCGGATCGGTTCCGCATTGTAAATGGGGTTTCAACTGTTTTTCGTGCATGTGTGGTCGACAGAATTCCATTGTGATTTGCAACTGTAGGATCGTTCCCGCATTGTAAATGGGGTTGCAAGTGGTGCTGGTGGATGAGTTGCCGATGGAATTCCATTGTGATTTGCAACTCTAGGATCGTTCCCTCACTGTAAATGGGATTGCAAGTGGTGCTGGTGGAGGAGTTGCCGATGGAGTTTTGAAGGAAGTCTCGCACGAAATGCGTTTTTGAGAGATAGCAGATGCACGAAACCCTATGTTTTTCCATACAAAGTGCGTCCCCGAACCTCGATGATCTACCTCTGCGGTGCGACGGGTGCGAGACGGTCTCGTGTGTGGTCGGATCATGCTCGGATATGTTCGGATCATCCTCGGATCATTCTCGGATCGGTTCCGCATTGTAAATGGGGTGTCAACTGTTTTTCGTGCATGTGTGGTCGACAGAATTCCATTGTGATTTGCAACTGTAGGATCGTTCCCGCATTGTAAATGGGGTTGCAAGTGGTGCTGGTGGATGAGTTGCCGATGGAATTGCATTGTGATTTGCAACTTAGGATCGTTCCCGCAATGTAAATGGGATTGCAAGTGGTGCTGGTGGATGAGTTGCCGATGGAATTCCATTGTGCTTTGCAACTGTAGGATCGTTCCCGCAATGTAAATGGGATTGCAAGTGGTGCTGGTGGATGAGTTGCCGATGGAATTTCATTGTGATTTGCAACTCTAGGATCGTTCCCGCAATGTAAATGGGATGCAAGTGGTGCTGGTGGATGAGTTGCCGATGGAATTCCATTGTGCTTTGCAACTGTAGGATCGTTCCCGCAGTGTAAATGGCTGCGTCAAGGTTGCTTCTTGCCACGGCTGCATGCGTAATACTATTGTCTTTTGCAGCTGGACTTCGTAAATCGTATTGGAGTGGCTGCATGAAGGCTGCGACAGTGATTTGTCAGCAGATTTTCTCCATTTTGGCGCTAGTAATTTTCCTTTTAAAAATCCTTTTAAAAAGTGCTTCAAAATCGTCTTTTTTTCGCTTTGGCGTCGAGATCCGGTTTTGGAGCTGCAATTTCCGACCCAGTTGCGCGTAGTTCTATTGTGTTTTGCAACTCAGTCTTTGCAGATCGCATTGTAATGGCTGCGTCAAGGTTGCTTGGTGCCGCGGCTGCATGCGTAATACTATTGTTTTTTGCAGCTGGACTTCGTAAATCGTATTGGAGTGGCTGCATGAAGGCTGCGACAGTGATTTGTCAGCAGATTTTCTCCATTTTGGCGCTAGTAATTTTCCTTTTAAAAATCCTTTTAAAAAGTGCTTCAAAATCGTCTTTTTTTCGCTCTGGCGTCGAGATCCGGTTTTGGACCTGCAATTTCCGACCCAGTTGCGCGTAGTTCTATTGTGTTTTGCAACTCAGTCTCCGCAGATCGCATTGTAATAGCTGCGTCAAGGTTGCTTCATGCTGAGGCTGCATGCGTAATACTATTGTCTTTTGCAGCTGGACTTCGTAAATCGTATTGGAGTGGCTGCATGAAGGCTGCGACAGTGATTTGTCAGCAGATTTCCTCCATTTTGGCGCTAGTAATTTTCCTTTTAAAAATCCTTTTAAAAAGTGCTTCAAAATCGTCTTTTTTTCGCTCTGGCGTCGAGATCCGGTTTTGGAGCTACAATTTTCCGACGCCGTTGCACGTAGGTTTAGAGCAGTGAAGTGTGGGGCGTGAAGAGTGCACTGTGAAGTGTGCAGTGTGAAGGAAGCAGTGGGAAGTGAGAAGTGTGAAGTGTGGAGTGTGAAGTTTAAGTTTGGAGTGTGAAGGAAGCAGTGAGAAGTGACAAGTGTGAAGTGTGGAGTGTGAAGTAATTCCATCGTTCGTGCGGTTGTATGTTGATAACCTCCATAAAATGACCACCGTGACTTTGATTAGTGTGACCATACCTGATGTGACTGTGACTGTGACTATTCTGATCATGACTACTGTGACCATAGATACTATGACAAAGACTACTTTGACAATGACCGTTGTGGCTGTAACTGTAGTGACAATGAGTATTGTAACTGTTTGGACTGGCCCCTTTTTAGGTAATGACAGTGGGAAGTAGAAGTGACGGCATTAGTGTCCCAAGAATAAATGACTAGAAAGTGAAGTGTGGACTGTGAAGTGTGGAGTGCGAAGTTTGGAGTGCAAAGAGTGCAGTGTGAAGTGTGGAGTGTGGAGTGTGAAGTGTGAAGTTTGGAGTGTGAAGGAAGCAGTGAGCAGTAAGAAGTGTGAAGTGTGGACTGTGAAGTGTGAAGTGTGAAATGTGGAATGTGAAGTGCGAAGTGAGTGTGAAGTGTGAAGTTTGGAGTGTGAAGGAAGCAGTGAGCAGTGAGAAGTGTGAAGTGTGGACTGTGAAGTGTGAAGTGTGAAATGTGGAGTGTGAAGTGCGAAGTGAGAAGTGTGAAGTGTGAAGTGTGGAGTGTGAAGTGCAAAGTGAGAAGTGTGGAGTGTGAAGTGCGAAGTGAGAAGTGTGAAGTGTGAAGTTTGGAGTGTGAAGGAAGCAGTGAGAAGTGAGAAGTGTGGACTGTGAAGTGCGAAGTGTGAAGTGTGGAGTGTGAAGTTTGGAGTGTGAAGGAAGCAGTGAGAAGTGTGAAGTGTGGACTGTGGAGTGTGAAGTTTGGAGTGCGAAGAGTGAAGTGTGAAGTGTGGAGTGTGAAGACTTTGCTTCGTCTCTCGCTGAAAAAAAAACCGCTTGTCGAGGGAAGGACACGCTCGGGACGGGCTGGCCTTGAACTATAGGTCATTTATTCTTGGGAAACTTCCGCCGCCGGCTTGCCCGGGTCTATGTTAATGTAGTGATATGTGCATATGAGACATGCACCTAGCGCCTGGTTCCCTTTGACAATATATATATTCTCATCTCATATTGATCATCCATCATGGAATATGGATCATCACAGAACCTCATGGTGGCACCATGATCCGCACCTCGATGCCCATGTTCTCATAATCGGTACCGGTGGCCGAAGCAGCATTGAGTTGCCTCATTGACTCATGACTTTGGGGGACCTACATGAATAATGAACAAAATTAGGTAGGTCAAAAGTCAAAATCTCCAATATCATAATTATCATAAAGGCGATCGTGAAATCGCGAAAAAGACATCCAGCAGCCCATACGGAAAAATATTGGAAGCAACATGAAGCAACATAAAGTACTGCTTGTGGCTGGAGCCTCGCCCAACTATCAATGGCTGTTGGGGATGTGCCCATGTTTGGAAGAAACCTCTCTGGCGGCGCATTTCTTGCCAAGTCAACTCCTGAATTTTGAGGTCCACCCCGGATTTGCCACAGGCTTCTGAGAACCCTTCTCAGTGCTGGGTACAGGAAGCCGAACAAATTGTGTGAGCAGCCTCAGCTGTCCACGAAATTCCCGATTTCTTTGCTGGTTTCGAACCGAACATGGCAGCTGAGAACGCTGAGAGCTGAACCTCACTGTAAATGAATGAGCTGAAACCTGGGCAGGAAGTAACATCCCAACATCAGTGCATAGCATTGTCTGAGGCACGAGCAGAGGCATGGATGGCAAGCCATGCACTGAGGAAAAGGAAAACGAAGGCCTTGAGTAGATCCAGCAAAATGCCAGCTGTTTTCCGCAGAAAATTCACAGGAAACCCATGGAAACTCCGGTATTTGGGCTCGTGAATCCATATAATCCGTGGGTGCAGGCTTTCCCTGTGGGTTTTGGTGATCGAAAGAGGTCAAATTGACAGAGACTCAAAAGAATACAGTACACATCTTGATGCATTGCTCAACTGCTCAACACACAGCAACTGGGAGCCGAACTTCTGCCAAACCTGAGTATTGAAAAAGCTGATGAGAAGATACTCTGTGCTACCAGCACTGCTTCTTCTCTCACCAGGTGCGCAATCGGGATACTGAAGTTCCCCACTGATCACGTACAGCCAGAGGTTCCAAGTTGGCTGCTCATCTGCACAGAGCCACATCGCCCAGATTTATCAGATTTGGGTTTGTCTGAAAATTGAGGGAAAAAAAGAGAGTTGATGGCTGATCATCATTATTCCATATTATTCCCATTAGTCTTGCCATAAATTGCCAGCATCTTCGAAGTGAAAGCAACTGCGGCACCTTTCGACATTTCATGGAGGTGGAGCACTCCATGTACTAAGAGATCCAGACCTGCGACAGCGCAGGTTGATCTTAACAAGAAGTCCAGCAACCCTGAAGCCCTCAAGCAAAACAAACACACAATGGTGGAACCATATTGAACCGTGTGTTTCAGCCCAGATTCTGGACCAAGTTATGCTAAGTTATGCTAAGTTATGCCAAGTTGCAGCAACCAAGTTCCAGCACTGCAATCATCAAATAGCTGTCCATCCTCAGCTCGCTGCTGCTGGGTCCCTGGGATCCCTGGGGTGCTGGGTGAAGAGCGAAATGCATCCGAGGTGGCAACTTGCTGATGGTCAGCTCGTTCAGGTCGCGCATGTCCTGGAGATTTTACAACTTCCGCCATTGAGAAGCCCCATGAATCAAAGGAACAGGAAAAAGAACATACACACAGGATTCAACAAATATGGTCTGTAGATGTCTGTAGTTGAAACTTCTTCGGCATGCATTAACTAGTCTCTGGGCTGTTTTCACATGAACCAGCTGGCACACATCTGGAAGCATCTGGATCTTAGCCAACAGGCCAGAGAATGGGAAGTGAATTGCCGAATTTCGTCTTGCTGCTGGTGTCCTCTCGGTACAGCATAAACTGCTTCACTCTCATGTTCTGCTCCTGATATTCGCGCCTTGGAATGTGGTCAAAACTCTCGCTGCACAACAAGCCAAGTCCAAATACGTGTTGCCAAACAAAGTGTCAGACCATTGTCGGAGCTTCTGGTCGAACATAAAGTTCCCTCGGTTGTAGCCTCAATCATGAAGAGTGAAGAGAACCGTGAACAAGATGTCAAGGGACTCTCCATCAGTTGTTCAAACATCTTCGAACAGCTTGGTTTCCATTGGCGTCCCCGCCGAATAATTCCTCTACACTGTCTGCCATGGCTTTGCATCAAGTCCCCAAGTCAACAAAAAAAATCAATCGCTATCCACCTGGTCACTAAAATCCTCCTGAGCCACAAAATGCCACACAGGCACCAACAGCCACGAGTCTGCAAGATTTCTTGGGGTGCTTGAAAGAGGACATGCACAGAGTTTCGATACTCACTTGAACACTTTAAGAACTCTGCTGCCATGAAGGCACTTCCACACCCCACCAGTGCCACCATCCAAAATGGCACCATGATTGTGTTCCAACCCTTGTAGAGGAATCGAGAATCCTGGAATCTTAGTACTGCTATGGGGGTGGACCCCATAAAATCTGTCCTGTAAAAAAAATGAACACGAGCAGCAACGCGAATGCATCAAGCGGAAAGACTTGGTCGTTTCCGTTGTGAAACTCAGTGAAACTCCTCCACGTCCCAGACCTTCACTGCCACGGCCAGCAGAACAATGGGCGACGTCACTCCTGTGCCAAGCCATGGAGGAGTTGTACCTTCCTCACTTCCTTCAAATGAAGATTTTTTCTTTTGGATCGATTCATTTAAGGGCTCCCGAATAATGAAGGCATGGGAGGGATTCCTTGCGAAATCCCCCCCGAAAATCTTCGGGTAGAAAAAGTAGAAAAATGTAGAAAGTATACAGCATGGATAGTATGGTACCTTTTTTGGTGACTTGGCAGCACTCCTGGCTGTCCATGTCTTGTGCATCGGGTGCAGATTGATCAGGCTCCGGCGCTGAATCTGGCAGATCCAGATCCGCCTCCATCGAGTCCTGCACAACATTGGTATAGTGATCCCCAAAGAGATGGAATACTATAGCAATCCCCATGAATATGATAATACATGATAATACTATGGTATAGTCCTGCACAACTTTGAAATAGTGAAGATTGACTTTTCCATCTTTTGGGGATGACTATAACTTCATATAATTAGGAAACTGATGCTAAACCATTGGGTATCTCTGTCTCTGTCTGAGACTTCCTCCACTGGAAGAGTAGCCGGCCTGCAGGTGATATTCCTCCACTTCTGCCGATTCCTCTGCCTCCTCTTGCACTCTGAAGAGCTCGTTCTCACTCCCCTGGGCAGGTAGTTTGAACCTCCTCTACCAGTGAAACTCTACACAAATTCCCCAGTTCTTAGGGGGAAACAAGTCTGAAATTCTACACAAATCCTGTGATATCAGTGACATCACGAAGTCTGACAACAAGTCGCTTCGCACCTGGACATTCGGATAGCTAAATTCGTTCGGATCTATCTCGTCGCTTGCCTGTGGGACGTCAGCAACTTCATTTTGAAACGAAGATCATCTCAACATCTCAAGCGTTATATACCCCAAAATACCACTGGGGGGTCAACGGTCAATCTATTGCCCTCTGGTTAACAGTTCGCCATGGAAGCCATGGCCCTACTCGAAATAGATGGTTTACCTATTAGTTAACCATAGTTAACCTCCATTTATCTAATAAATTGGTTGGGATTTTCTATGGCAAACTGTGAATGTCATAACCGTCACAACCAGATGGTAGAAATTCTCCTCCTGGATGACTAACCATTGGGCCCACCTCCGCCTTCGCACTGTTTGCTCGCTCACGCAGTAGGGCATCCATCTCTTCAAGGATGACCTGGCTCGACGGCTCGACAAAGCTTGAAAACGCTGGAGGGTGACTGTAACCGTTACGCATGATATATGTAGAAATGTTGTGTGCATATAGACACATATTTAATACATACACAGGGTTGTATATAATGTGTATGGATATGTGATATTACAGTAATTGATATTACACATACTCTGAGGATGTTCATGGATATGTGAGGTAGCCACAAAAACAAAACTCAAGGTGCATGCTGCCCACCACCAATCGGATCCAATCAGTCAGTCTCCCACCTCCTGCTGGTCTTTGCTGACACCTTGCAGTTTCATCCTATTGATGGCCTTGTCCCTGAGTCCCTTCATGGCAGTCTCCTTGAGCTTTTCGACCTCAAATATGTCCGTCGCAAGTCAAACATGTCGTGGTAGAATCTGACTGACAGCATTTTTGGAGGTGAACTCAGATCACGGCATCCAGCGGTTCTAGCGCCGCATTCGTCGCAGTCTGAACAGCTCTTCTTGAAGTCGAATAAATGCATGTCGCACCCAACAGACCCAACAAAACACAGTCAAGACAACAACATCTCTCGCGAAGAGGCTCAGCCGCACCTCAATGCCTTCTAAGACCTTTGCAAGCTTCCATTTGCTTTGGCCGAGGCGCTGATTCTCCTGAAGACCAGTGTCATCACTCGGAGTTTCTCAAGCCGGGTCAGTTAAAGTTGAACGCATTTCTCATCAAAGCTCCTCCAAAAGATGAGGAAACTGCAGAAACCCTGCATATACAATGTATCTAAAATGTAGCATGTAGATGCATGTAGCAGTAACTACAGGGTTTCATGCATATTTCAGGGACACCAGAATTGGCCAAACCGGATCTTTTCCGCGCCTCAGAAGCCTCACGAGTTCGAACTGATTCTGTCCTCGCAGGGAAGAATCTGATGGCCGGGGATGGCCGAAGCCGTGGTGCAGTGATTCAGTGTGTCCTCCTTGATGACATGGGCAAAAACTGTGAATTGGCACGTTGGTGCCTTAGAGTGCCGTTGATCAGATTTTATCTGAATCACTGAATCACTGGATGTGGATTCCTGTCATGGGCATATTTCTCCGGATAGACATCTTGGTTTGTAGTTCCATGCTGGAGCTACAGTGTAGCTCCCGAATAAGACCGCGACTTTTGCGCCAACGGCGGGTAGAATCTACCAACTCCCTCGCAAATTAGACTGCAGCAAATTGGAAAGGTCTTGGAATATGGGCACAGTAGAGGCTACTTGCTTATGGGTTTATAAGTTTATAACATGTTGTAACTCCATCTGTGCAGCTTGGGGCCTCCAAGACGGTGCTGTCAATCTCAGGAACCTGGACAGGCACGAGAAGTCGAAGTCGGTTGAGGTTGTTCAGTGTATACTCAAACTAGAGACCAACAAGTTCAGAAGGCGCTTTCTTAAAAACTGTCGAGTTTTGGCCTAAGGATCTGAGATTCCAACTGTTCTGTGATGGAAATCTAAGCATCCAACTCGTATCGCACCTGCTGAGCGGGACTTCTTGAGGAGTGAGAAGCCACCAGACCTGGTGCTCCAATGCTCCAAAGAAAATAGGATGGGATGATAATTGTAGATGATATTATAATGTTCCATCATTATCCCATTTATAGATGATTCATATTCAATAATGATCATTTGTAGATAATATACCAGTGACACCAGTGTTAAAAGCTGCAGCTTGTACCAATGGCTAGCTATGAAGCTTGGAGGTTCATGGAGGTTCCGCAAGTTCCATGGCACCTCCACTGAACTATGCTGTCATCATCTGGCTTTTCTTCATCGCCTCAGTTGTGCAGCACTACCTGCTGGGTATGTCACAGAATCTCCACTATCACCACACTCGGAGCTGTACCGACGCCAGCAGGCAGTTCTGAAAGTTGGACCTGGTGTTCTTTGTATGCTGTAGTACATGTCATACATGTCATACATGTTATACATGTCAGTCACAAAATGCCACAATCCAACACGATGAGATCGGTGATTCCTGTATCAAGGGGTCTGCTTTGAAATGAACATTCCAAACCTTGCACAACACGCCTGGTCGTCCTTCCCAGCAGAGTGCTTATTCCTTTCTCCTTGTCTCCGCGCAGCGGCTGCGGCGCCCTGTTTCCAGCCATTGCCAAAGATCTGTTCGCCGTTGTTGGACTGGCGGACCTCAACCACGTGTGGATCCGTGGATGCAGTACATCATCACTTGAAATCACCTGCACCACATCAATCTGTGGCCCAAGCAGGAGCAAGGAAGCTGCGAGTGTGGTCGGGAGCACAGTTGTACGCATAGGGGTGAGGCATGCTATAAGGCAGCGTCCGGCCCTGCACGCGCAATCTGCTGAGAGGAAGTGAGGAGAAACATCCCAATGTCTGGTATGTGAACCTGACATGTGGTAAACCCAATGCCATAAACCTACCATTTGGGGATGGTTTATACCACTGGTTTGTGGCCTTTTTTTCTGGCCGTTTTTTTTTGGATGATTTATATTTGGGCTTACCACAGTTGATTTCACCTTCTCAACAGATCAAAAAAGTAGTGCCTTTAGTGCTGGAGGCTGCGCTAATGGCCGCGGCTCGGGCAACTGGTATTGGCCTGGGCCTCGCTGGAAAATCGAAATGGTGCTGAAGAATGGAGTAGCAATGGACCTGCAAATTTGCTGATGATTTTAGTATGCAACCATCCATTTTGAAGAAAATTTGAGCCATTTGGGCCATATCCAAATGACGTCCCTTTTGCCATGTCCAAAGTGTCCAATCACTTCCACTGGTTTTCGACATCCCAAACGTTTGAAATCAATCATCCAGATAAGCAAGAACAATTCTGAAATAAAGCCATTGCAGGGAGATGATTCAGCATTGTCAACCCATTGTCAACCATCATCAACTATCATCAACCCTTATCAACCACACTAACCAGTACTAACCATTACTAACCACTACCCACTACTAATTCAGAATCATCTCAACGACGTCAATTCCCTCAGGAGCTTGCCAGGTACTTCATCCGCCGTGCCAACTGCCTCGCAGAATTGTTGTCGCATCAGCAACCACCGAAGTTTGAAGCTGGTTGGGAAACGGGTAGTGCATATCCCAGATACAAGTTACAACTGTTCCCTATCTTCAAAGAGCCACTTTTCATTCTTCTAGCTAGGGCTTTCATTTTCTCATCTTCTGAGGAAATCTGCAAAGGTATTGACTTTTTGTCTGCAAAGCGGATCCCAAATCCCGGTTTATCTCCGTAAAACATCAAGCTAACAAAATTGCGCGGTGTGTCTTAGATTCAAACACAAATGAACATTGCAGATTTTTTCCCAGAGATGTAAGGACCTGTTGCCCTATGGATATGGCGTTGTCTTTGAAGTCTTGCAGACTTTGAGCACAAATCCTTGAAGGTTCCAATCCTTCCAGGTCCGATTTCTCTTACTTTGCTTTCATGTCCTCGTCGCTTTCTTTTGTTGTGTCTGCTCCTTTGCTCCCTTTTTTTAAACCCTTTGGTTGATCTGGTCCTCATTGTCCCACATTTTCCCTGCGCCTTGGCCACCATATCCTTGGTCTCGGAGCTGGTGGCACTTTCGTAGCGGTACACCACTTGCCCCACCGCCTTGAACTCCACGGAGCCTGCGGGCGCATGAATAATGGGTCTCTTTGGGGTTGGGTATTTTTCATAGAGTGTAATACTAATCTATCTATGTATCTATGTATCTATGAATCTATGTATCTATCTATCTATCTACCTACCTATCTATCTACCTATCTATCTATCTATCTACCTATCTATCTATCTACCTACCTATCTATCTATCTATCTACCTACCTACCTATCTACCTACCTACCTACCTATCTACCTACCTACCTACCTACCTATCTATCTATCTATGTATCTATGTATCTATGAATCGATGAATCTATGAATCTATGTATCTATGAATCTATGTATCTATCTATCTATCTATCTACCTACCTATCTATCTATCTATCTATCCATCTATCTATCTATCTATCTATCTATCTATCTATGCATGCATGCATGCATGCATGCATGCATGTCTGTATGTGTGTATGTGTATATGTCTATGTATATGTGTATATATATATATATGTCACAAAGTGCGGAGAGCCCCACCAGGGGCAAGCATTGCGGCTCTTCTATTTTCTGCCTATGCTTGAGTTGAAGTTCCGCTGCGGTCGAAGCAGCGTGTAGATTCCTATCCTCACCCGACTGCCATGTCGAATTAACACTCCCTTTTAAGTGTTTCAAAAGTAAATAAAAGATTTCTCTGCCCTTGATTGACATCAGAACGCCTTTCATTCTCCGAACTCTCGAACTGCAGTGGTGCCTGGGTAATTCACTCCGGTGACCTTGCTTGGGTCATATTTCATAGCTTGCATATAGTTTTTCAAGTCAGCTGCCTTTGCTGACTTATGAGCGTTGCGATTGATCCATGCCAAGTACTCCTTGGTCTCGGCATTCGTACCAGCTTCCTGAATCAACTTCTCATAGGTGCACCTGCGGGATGCCATCTTCGGCAAAGTGCAGATAGTCTTTCCCCACATTTCAATTGACTCCACTCCCGGAGGCAACTTGCAGGTTGGAACCATGGGAACTGTGGTTCCTGCACTTGGAAGGATAGGCTCTTGCTTCGAAGCCTCAGCGCCGGTCATTGAGATCACATCGAACTCTTCTGCATCATCACTGAAGCCGCCCGGAGTGTCAGCAAACAGCCGACGTTTGCTTCCATCATGCATGGCTCCATGCGAGCCGTCACTCTTCTCAGACTCAAACTGTGCCATCGCAACTCGATCAGCGGCCCTGGGAGCTTCGTCCCACATACCAGTTTGGCGTAGGACATTGATGATAGCCACTGCCTGAGTCATGTCGAATGCAGCTCCATTCGAAGACGCCATGTTTACGCACGTACTGTTGAGCGTAGGAGCGGCAGATCTTTTCGGATCACCCTTTTGGCGATCGTGTTTCGACCTAAATCAGAAAAACTGCACAGGCACAAGGATTGACAAGCTGACACTGTACATGATCGGCTTGAAGTGACAAGTATTTGAACCCCTACTTATCCCCACGCTTATGTTATTCTAATCCCCTTGATTATCTAACACAAGACTGCATTAATTTTGGAACTTCCGGTTTTCGGCTTTGCGTTTTTGGTCATCTTCTTCTTTTCTGGATTGTCTGATCTGTCTCAGGCGGCGCTCTTCTCGATATCTCTTTTTCTGTTCCAACACTGAAGCTTCTTCATTCAGTTGATATTCTCCGAGAAACATGGCTGAACGCAAAAGATCGGCGGGATCTTGTTGGTCTTTGGTAAGACCGTCGGCAAGCATCAGTCCCGTGGGGCACCAACGAATGCAAAGGTTACATCTCACCATACTTTGTTTCACTATAGCGAGGTCTATGGCAACCCTTTTATCTTCCGCTTTTGAAACTGAGGACATGGATATGAGATTATCATACAAACTCTTGCAGTCGGTAATGCCAACGATTGGAACTTGAGATACCTGGTCACGAAGTTTCATTCCATGTGCCAAGATGGCTGGAGCTGGTGAGTCCTGCCACAGCTGGCTACTACGCAAGTCAAAGGCTCCATGTTTTGCTTCGGCTAACATCAACGACATCCACTCACAAACAGCTGCTGCAGTAGCATACGCTTGGGCTTCACCTGCTAGAGTGGATGCTACTTTACGTGGGAGTTTATATGACTTCCATGCAAACGGAGACCACTGACTTGGCTTGTTCTCTGAAAGCTGCTTGTCAGAGAAAGAGGCAATGTATCCAGCTTGAGTGCTATATGCCTTTGCGTTTCCAAAACCAGCGTCTGAGTGAAAACAAATACACAAGTCGTCCCATTGGATCTTCTTGACAGTGATTTCAACATTACTGTACTGTTTGGCTCTATGCACTAGTTGGTTTGCAAACAGCAAGTCTTTGACTCTGGGTAATGGAAAGCACTGCTGAGAAAACGATGTCTGCACACTGAGATCAGGCCGAGATTGGCTACTGAGCCAATTGGCTGCACCATTGATGGCTCGGAGGGCAGCTATTTCTTTCTCGGTAGCCAAAGCCTCCTTGTTTCGCTGTCTCTCTTTGGTGAGGGAAATTGGACGTAAGTTCTCTGCATACTCTTTTTGTTGGTATGTGATTTCCATGGTGGCTGGATTTTGAGAGTATTGTACTCCACAGAACTCTCCATTTCCTTGTCTCCACTTTCGGTATGGGAACCTAGCCTTTAACCTTTCAATGGCATTTTGATATTTGGGTCCAGCACCTCCCGTGATTGTATCATCCACGTGAGCACCAAGGATACCAACCAATTTTGGTTCTGCATCACCTTCAGCCTTGTCGAACAGGTAATATAGGCAGTTGTCGAATTGTGATTTGTGCCAACCCCCTGCTTGAACTTCTTTGTCGAAGGTATGCCACCAGTTAAACGGAGCATCATTGGAACCATAAACATTTCCAATCACCTCAATGACATCGTCTGGACTCAGTCCAGGCACTCCTCCTTCAGGTTGGTGTGCATATAATGGAGAAAACTTTTGATCGAGGGCCCCAGCTTCCAAGAATGCCCCTTTTATGTCTCCCAGTTGCAACATCCATCCCTTGCTCACCAAAATTTGAAGAATGAGTGCACGAGACAGCTGATGTAGGGTCGGCGAATGGCAAACCCCTGAGCCGATCTTCTCCTTGAAGTCTGGATCCAAGTGACCTTGAAGACACCATCTGGATTTGATTCTCTGGCCTTCTTCATCTTGTTTGTTAACCACAACAAATCGACTACCAATAAAACGGTGACTCTGACGTTTGCGTATGTCTTTGGCCTTTTGTCCAGTCCAAATTCTGATAGCTTGTTTCCCCAACAGAGTTTCCCATTCAATGGTTTTGGATTCATCGATTTTCTCTTGCAAGGACTGTTCATGACCATATGGTTTGATTTCCTTTCGTGCCCTTTTCTGCAGAAACGCGGCTAACAACACTTCGATGTCCTGAGATTTGTTGAGAAGCTCGGCTGACAAGGCATCATCTGTATCAGCTTCAGGACCTGACAAACGTGCTCGGACTGCTGGTCGATCTCCGTCTTGGTCAGTGCTGGCTTCTCTTTTGGAGCAATCCCCTCTAGGACTATGGTTATCCCCATTACCCCCGGTGTTACTCCCCAATTCACTTGATTGAAGATGTTGTTCCAGGAGGGCTGGAACCATTTCCTGCATCATCTCAGAAAAATCATCTTGTTTCATGACTGGAGGTCTGCTAAGATACTCTGGTGGCCTTTTGGTAGTGTGTCTCACTTGTCTCCATGGACCATAGGCATCTGTGCTTGGCATTGCTTCAAGTTGTTTGCGAACTGCATCAAAATCCGGTGGATTGGGAATCATAAGATTTGATGATTGATCTACATTCGAAGATCCTTCAGCAGGAGCACTGTTTGGACTGGTCGGAGTCGGAACTGGCACTGCATCTAATTCGCCGGCCGATCTGGCGACTACACCTTGTTGCACCTGCTCCATCATGTGCTCTGGTTGAGCTGGCTGCTCTTGATTCACTAAATCAACAAATTGGCTCTTTGGAAACTGACCCTTTTCCAACAGTGTTTTGATCCCCAACAGTTCACTCTGATCAAACTTGGCTATGGCTTGTTCATCTTGTGTGGCATGCCTGAGCTGTTCCGGAGAGCATCTGAAAAGGTTTCGGCGGTGTGCAACAACCCAGTTGACGCCGATGCGGCCCAAAATCAGAGCTGCCCCATGCCAACGTCCACCCTTGAGAAGTACTCCATTTTGCCATTTTTGAGATCTCCAGTAATATACCCAGTCACCTGACATAAACTGTCGTTGAACTCTCGGGCGTGCTCTGAGTGCACTTCTCAGTGCCTTGTCATCCTGACATTGGAGCACTGCCAGGCGAGCTGCTTGTCTCACTGCCTGTGATCTCTGGCATCCTGCATCAGCAAGAACTGCATCCGAGGCTGCGACATGAGTGTCTTCTTGAAGCAGGTCTTGTGGGACTCGAGGATTTCTACCAAACACCAGTTGATATGGGCTTGCACCACTTTCGCTAATGAGAGAGTTCTTAGCTACTTGGGTTTGCATCACACAATCCACAAACTCTTCGGCTGATGTTGGTTGGCACTCGTCGCAAACTCGTTCAAAGATCTTGGCGAACCAGTGTCCGTGCCTTTCCACCTTTCCCAACTGCCAGTGTGAGTCCGCCGCTATGTGCTGAATATTGATGCCCATGCTTTCACAGTATTCACACAGCATATCACTTAAGTTGGAACTTGAGGGATCTAACTCCAAGTTTTGGGGTACGCCCGCCCATGAAATCCATGAATCACGTAGAACACCCTTGGTGATTTCCGCAGTTTCTCTATGAAAAATGGGGGCCATCACATGCAGGGATGTTGCATAGTCCACTATGCTGATGCATGGCACTTGTTGGTTGGTGTTCCAACCTGGAAGATACTTCACGTCAAGTCCTATCTTCTCATTGAATTCAGTTGTGCGTGAGGTCTTAGCGGGCAAAGCACTGGCTGGCTGAACATGGTTCTGGCAAACATCGCACTGAAAGGATTGAGCGACACGAATGGCCTCGCTGGTGGCATTGCTATGTCTCAAAATCCTAACCAAGTCTTTGACATTCGGGTGCCCTAGATTACAATGAAGCTTGCGAATGGCTTGTACGATCTTTGGGTCAGGCTGTGCTGCCACCGGCTGAGCTGCTTCAGCCGCGGGCTGTGCCACGGCTTCACTCACAAGGCATTCAAGGTCTGCATCTACGGCTAGGCAAGGCTTCTCAGATTGGCTCATGCATTCTGGCACGATGGTTTTCAACATGCTTTTCACAAACTGCGGAGTATATGTTGCGCAAAATGCGCTCACGTTCTGGCCACTCCTGAGGTTGCCTTCGATTGGACGATGTTCTGGACAGCCGGGGCACGTGTGGAAGTCACTGGAATCTGCTCTCGAGGTCATAATGCCTGTCGCCTTTTGGATAGGCACTGCAGTGTCAGGGCACTTAAGGTTATATGCACACATATCAACCCGTTTAACCCCAAACCTACGCTTAAGAGCAGCCATGGGAGGATCCTTCCACACTTCAGATGGCAACGGATGTTCAAACATGAACTCTCCACCTCGCCTCAGCTGACGATGAATTTGATCAGCGCAGAAATCCACTTGCCTACGGGACCTACGGATGAGTCTGGCGGTCTCAATAGGGGAACGATAACACCGGTTGAGATGTTCCCATCCTCCACGATTGCGGCATGGTGGACAAACAACCAGAAGCTCTGGCTTGGCTTTGTCCAATTCTCGGCTGACTCTGGCTTGGGTTTCTGGATCATCCAAGTCACACCCTTGTTGGATATCATAAGATAAACCTTTCTTACCCAATTTTTCAGCTTCAAGAGCAAATCTAGGAGGTGAAAACAGTTCGGCAACCAACACCTTGGAGTTATTCTTGTTGTCCCATTTGTTCATTTGTGCCATGAGACATCTGCATTCCTTTTTCTTCAAGGTAACTCTGGTTTTAGTGTTGGTTATCCCCTTTTGATCATCACTTGGAATTTCATTACGATTACCATGACTCATTACCTCGTTATCGCATGTTTTGGATGCGGAGTCCTGAGTCCTGGATGATGATTTCTCCGACTTCGGATACTCCAGGATGTTGATAAGGACCTGACCAGCTGAGTTGGTGATCATCTTGGCCTTGGTGTCCAGAAAATGGAGCATACCTTGGTCGAAATCAATCTTGGCTCGAAGCTTCTCCAGGGTCGGGCGGCCTATGAGCAAAGGCGCACAGCCAGTGATGACTGCTGCATCAATCAAACCATATTTGCCTGAAATTCCAACTGGAAGCCTGACAGCTACTTCAGACTTTTCCACAGCACCATTGCCAAAACGGAAGGAGTTCTCCGCCTGATACTCAGTGACACTGCTGATTCCAGACTGTTGCATCATAGGTTTCAACAGTTCCAGTGTGTCTCTGCCTATCAACGTTCGACCACATCCAGAATCTATCACCCCAAAACCCGGCGATTGTACCAGGGAGGCGGCCATCACCTCTGTTGCAACTCCAACAAAGTATGGCTCCATCTGATCGGGGCCTGATTCAGTTCCAGCTTCGACATAGTTGACAGCAGCACTGCTAGAGCCTGGTGTTTTGTGTTCACCAGAGTCACGGTTGCTGTTTGAGGGATTCTTGCACTCCTTGGCCCAATGGCCGATCTGATTGCATTTCCTGCAGCGTGTTCTTTTCTTGAGTTCTTCTATCTCGACCCTGAAACTTCTACGAGTCTTTCCAGCTGGACCAAACTGTCTTGCTTGCTGAAATTTGGCAATCTCTTTTCTTCTCTCCCGCCACGAAACTGCTAGGGCTTCGGCAGTCTCTTCTTCGGTAAAGACCTCATCGTGATCTTCCGGAAGACCTGTGAAGGCAGTCTCATGATCTGCTAGAAAGGCCTCGACGTCACCAAAGCCACTGTCAAGAGATTCCGTTTGTTCAGATTGTTCCAATTCTGCCTGAAAGACTGCAGTGCTCTTCTTTTTCCCAACAGCCTTGTATGCTGGGAAACATGAACGCAGAGATGAGCTGATGTCGTCAAATTGTAGGCTTCCCTGTGCCTTCGCTTTGACGATCGCCTTCTGTTCCTCTGTCAGTCCAACACAGTTCAGAGCTATCCATCCTCTGGCCTGTGATGGAAAATCCACTGCAGCTCTTCTCTTGCATTTCTCGAATGTTTCCTTCACTCGAGCTGTCCACTGTTTCATAGTCTCCTGGTCTAGGGCTGACAGGCTGAAGACTTCACCTAAGACTTCACCCATCATGTCATGTTGTTCTTTCTCTGGAAACCTCTCGGACAAAGTGTCCCATATCAGCTTTTCTCCTTCTTCTGCAGCCAATTGTTCCAGTGTGAGATGCTCACATGCATCCCATGCCTTTCCATCCAACAGTGTCAGCAGCCACGGTGCCTTCTGCTGCGTTGTCAGATCCTTGAGCGTCATCATCTTTGCACGGGCCCATGTTTTCCACTTCTTCAGCTGCTTACCCGGGTCTTCATCGTCTCCAGAAAACCTTTTGACTGAAGACCCCGCAGCTCCATCTTTTTCGGTACCTGCCATGTCGGATCGGCTTCGTGACCTCCTGGTCAAGCCTCAGCGGTGCCCCTGGTGGGGCTCCGCTACCAATCACAAAGTGCGGAGAGCCCCACCAGGGGCAAGCATTGCGGCTCTTCTATTTTCTGCCTATGCTTGAGTTGAAGTTCCGCTGCGGTCGAAGCAGCGTGTAGATTCCTATCCTCACCCGACTGCCATGTCGAATTAACATATGTATATAGTATATAAGTCTAGATATATATATATATATATTCATTTTTTATCACAGGGGGTGGGATTAGTAGCCATTGTCTTGGGGATTTACCCAGCCCAAAGTTGCCTTTTGGTATATTGATATAGTGGATTTCATCCAGAGAATTTCCAGGCGATTTCCAGGCCTTTGGCATCGTAGGTCCCAGGTGGTGGATTCGCTTCATACAGCTTGGGTGCTACATCGAAATAGCTCTTGGGCTTATGAGCCTGGGCAAGGCGAACAGCAAAGGAATCCAGTTGAAAAAAGCCTGCAGATTGGTTGGAAAAAGCCTCTGGAAATCTAAGCTGGCAATGGAAATCAAAGTTGCAATCATTTGCTGTGGATATTCCTTTTGGCACAAGACAGGTGTTTTCTGTTGCCATGCTTGTTCATCAAGATGACCAAATTTTATTGATCATATATTGATCAAAGCGCTGCTTCCCATGCTTGGAAATATCAGCTTGGCCCAGCACATCTAGCATGAATCGCCCACCCTCTGGGCAAAAGGGCTTGCCAATCTTTGCCCTCAGTCAACCAGTTGCTGTCGATCTTATGATCCAAACCTTTCTGAGGCGAGGGCCATGGAGGTGGAACATAGGTTGGCCCTGGCACAAAGCTCTTGTGCTTGGCAAAGTCCTGCGAGTCCATGACAAACATTGTGATCTGACAGAATTCAATGGCCAAAAAAATAACCGGCCGTAGCCACATGTACTGGCTGAAAATCCCGGTCCAAGGGAGAAGGCAGCTTTGATGTGCTTATCTTGCCATGTGGTTTCGGCCTGACAGACAGTGCTATTTGGGTTCTCTCTGAACCGATCATCATCACAGTGGCTGACACTTTTTGATCTGCGCCCTTGCCACCCTGTTCAAAGTGGTCCAATGGCTTAGAGCTTTCATCATGTTCATTTTGGGCCTCAAGGATTTGAGGTTTAGGACTATCAGCAGTTGCGGCCTCTTCAGCCATGGCTCCTGCGTCAGGAATACCAGTTTGATCAACTTTGGATCCACCATCAGTGTGTAGGGTCCCGGTCTTCTCAGTGGTCAAGGTGCTCGCGGAGATCGGATGCTGAGAGGGAATCTCCTCATTTTTTTCCTCAGTTGGCATTTGCGTTGATGCAAGAGGATCCAAGGTGGTTTTGGCGTCGTGTCCCCTATCTTTGTCAAGCCTCTCAAGAGTTTCTTCCAGCTTGGGAGTTGATGTCTGATCTGTCTGATCTTCAGCATTCTTTTCATGGCTGGGAACTTCATGGGTCTCATCCTGGTGAGGCTTCTCTTCCAATTCCTGGGCGTCTCTGGAGTCCTTGACCTGTTCCTCATTCTCACTGGACTCCACAGCAAGTTTCTCTCCATCCTTCTCACACTTCTCAACTTCCTCAGATTCCATCTCAGTCGGCTCAGGTGGATGAATTTCATTGCCCACCAGGCCCACCTCTGGCGGTTTGGAATCCATCGCATTTAAATCTTCACCAGGATGCTCACCTTGGGGCTCAGCAAGGTCAACAACATCCAAGGACTGCTGAACTTCCAAATGGCTTTCCAAATGGCCTTGGCTTGGGACATCATGAGAGGCATCCACGGAATCGACCTGGCCTTGCTCCACTTCATGAGCCTCACCAAGCCTCTCCAAACTATCCAACTCAGGCTTTTCAGCTCCATCTTCAAAATCATGGGGCTCGCGCTCTGAATTTGGGACGCTAGGCTCATGGGCCTCATGGGCCTCATGGGGCTCTGGCCTGACCTCACTGCCAGTCTTTGACTCAGAACTGTGCTGTCTGGACACAGCTGTCTGTGACTCAGGATGATTCTCTTCGAGATCAACGTGGTCATCATGAACCTCGTGACTCGTGGAGTCGCCCAGAAGAGGTTCTTTCATCCTGGCTTGATTGTTTGCCACGTCAGAGTCTGGTGCCTTCTGTGCCTCCAGCTGTCTCTTCATGAAGTTGTTGAGGCAAGACAAAACTCCATTGATGGCATTCAGCACTGCGAAGAACATGGCCAAGAACGCACTTTCCCCTCCAAAGAACGCTGCTCCAAACGCTAAGGGCGACCAAATGGCCAGAATGCGGCCTGCTGCCGGGATCTGCAAGGCCCACAGCCACATGGTCACCAAGACCCAAAAAGCCAGGCGATCCGCATACATCTGCTGGTGTTCATTGGCTACACATCGAGCTGATTCCATGGAGATGCTGAACAACAGAACGACGGTCACCAAAACACTCACCACAGATGCCACCTCCAAGCACAGGACGACCAACACAACGGCCAAGACAGCCAATAGCACCGTGTCACCCTGCAAGATGTTTGCAAAGTACGAGTGCCATGGCAAGCGCTGCAGAAAGCTGAAGACCAGCTGCCTTACAGCATCCAGTGCGCCTGAGGCATACTCAATGCAAAAGCTGAAGAGGTGGGTTAGCAGTCTGAAGACATAGGGCGCCACAAAGCAGCCTCTCCAATATTGCAACCATAAAGTCAAAGCAATGAGGAGTCCACTGGACCCAGCTGCTGATTGATCTGTGAGGGCGTCCATACTGACCTGAATCGCTCCTAGAAGTGGCCAGCAAGACCAGTAGGACAACCAAAAACACATCTCCTCTTCCAACTGACTTGACATTCGAAATTCTTCCTTTAGACTCTTTAGAACTGAAAATTTCAATCTGAAGTGCCACCATTTCCTAGTCTTTTGTGCTTCCTTTTGTGCTTCCTTTTGCGCTTCCTCGTCATTTCTTGCTTTGTCCTCCTTCTCTCTGTGGTGTCGCAGCAGTGCGCGGCTTGTGGTAAACACTGGCCATAGCGTGGCCAGCACAAAGTAGATGACGCTGGGCACTTCAGGAGGACAATGGCAAGCCATCCACCAGATCAGTGGGCCAAGCACCACAAAGGACAGGTGGAACAAAGCTTGCTGCAGGAAACCCAAACACGCTACCGAGCTCTCCTGCAGCCAAGCTCTGGCTTTCCAAATCATCAAGATCACATAGATTGCTCCACCAAGTCCCATAGCACACAGCAACACGATGCCTCGCTCTTCCCAGGACAGGGACTTCCATAGCCAAAGGGAGGAAGTATAGAAATCCCGGGCCAAAGGGCAGAGCGTGTTCCACCTTGGCCAGCTCAAATCTGACTCACAGTACCAGAAAGTGAAACACTCAGTTCATTTACCCACTTGAAATATTTTGACGTCAAACAGAACATGTTTAACGCAGAGATTCAAAACTGGCGATATATACCAATCTAATCCAATCTAGACACAAATCATGAAGTGCTGGAGCGAAGAGAGCCACCCAGGCCGCCAGCATTTCTGCAACAGCGCGAATGGCCCCGGTGGTTCGGTCCGCCGCAGTTTGCGCATGGTGAAGAACCTCCTGCCAGGCGGAATGGCCACGGTTCAATTGCCACGCAAACCAACAGAGCCAGGCAACCACGATGCCGCCAGTGGCCCTTGGTCGTTTGAAGAAACTCCATGAAACCAGCAGCAGCACCAGCAAAGCAGCTCCGATTTTGCAGAGGAGCACTTCATGAGTTTGCTCCTCAGCCAGAGCTTTGTGCAGCAAATCTGCCCATGGATCTGTATGACTTCCAGCTGCTTGCATCTTTGGCAAGTCAAAAGTAAATGTGCGTCTTACTAAGTGCTGTAGACATCTGTAGACCCCGTCTGAAAAGAGATGTGTTCAGCGCTGAGTGGCCATACTCAGCCCTGATGTGTACTATGCATTTCAAGGTCCATTCGTCTCATGCAAGTTGTTGTCAACATGAATCATGAACAAACAACTGGAGCAGCCCCGTTCCATATCTCTTTGCAAACGCGTGGGTTCATCATTGTGTTGATCATGGCTGCAGTGAGCAAACAACTGACTGATGCGACAGACGATGATGCCAGCGGAAGTATGTTTTGCATGTCAGTCCTTGCAAAGAAGGCAACTAAAGATAAACATTAAATGTTATTGCAACATGGTTGCTCTTGCCCCAACCCCTTCTTGATTGCACCAAATGGTGGTCGTCTGATACACCCAGTCATAGTCATGAGTCATAGTCATTTCTTCGAATGTTGCACACGCTTGGTGCCCAGCTCAGCGATGTCCGGATGTCTCGGATCTGTTGGGCGATACACCTGTGCAGATGGAGGGGCATCTTGAGGAACAAACATAGCCATGGTATAGATGGCCCATTTATAGATGAATTTCCCATTAAAACCTCCATTCATAAGGGATTTTCCATGGCTATGTTGCGATCTGCCAGTGGGTCGGAGTTGAGGTGCCAGCATGAGGTGTCGGTGTGCTGTATGCAAGCCGAACTTGATCTTCAATGCTATGGGGGACAAACTTCGTCCCCCGAGGGGCACCTGCGGCAAGGAACAACTTCGCAGCCCGTCTCATATCTCCAACCAACAAAAATCCGTGGGATGGCCCAAGAAAATCCAAAAAACATACTATCCATCACTAACTATCCATCACTATCCATCACTATTATCCATCACTATTATCCATCACTATTGTCCATCACTATTATCCATCACTATTATCCATCACTACTATCCATCACTATTATCCATCACTATTATCCGTCACTATTATCCATCACTATTATCCATCACTATTATCCATCACTATTATCCATCACTATTATCCATCACTATTATCCATCACTACTATCCATCACTACTATCCATCACTATTATCCATCACTATTATCCATCACTATTATCCATCACTATTATCCATCACTATTATCCATCACTATTATCCGTCACTATTATCCATCACTACTATCCATCACTATTATCCATCACTATTATCCATCACTATTATCCATCACTATTATCCATCACTACTATCCATCACTACTATCCATCACTATTATCCATCACTATTATCCATCACTATTATCCATCACTATTATCCATCACTATTATCCATCACTATTATCCGTCACTATTATCCATCACTATTATCCATCACTATTATCCATCACTATTATCCATCACTATTATCCATCACTATTATCCATCACTATTATCCGTCACTATTATCCATCACTATTATCCATCACTACTATCCCTCACTACTATCCATCACTATTATCCATCACTATTATCCATCACTATTATCCATCACTATTATCCATCACTATCCATCATTTACTGAGCTTTCCCCAACAACCGACCATATCTTCGTGCCTGGGCGACGCGGCCGCGGCGCCGCAGGCGCAGCCGCAGGCTGCGCCATTCCCCAGATGCCCTGGTGAGACTCTGAAGCCAAAGCTGCAGAATCAAATAATTGGTTCATGATCTTAGTTTACTTGATTCTATACCAACATGCAATTCTACACCTATGTACAGCTTCTACCAATTAGCACTTTATATCTGAATTGTTCAAATAACCATAGATCATCAGTTGATGGGTTTCTCACTTGCTGATTTCAGCCGGACAAACATTGGATGATCGCCATCCAGTGACCCTATTCCTCACGAAACCTGACGGGATACCTCCAAGATATGGCCATAGGCAGTGGTCGACTGGCCACCAATCAGTGACAGTACTCAGCTTGTGAGAAAAATAACTGTTGTTGTACCATCATATGAAATAGATTGGGAGGCGTCAACGCCGTAGGTAACTGCTGCCGTGGAGCAAAGGCAAGCCATATTTTGCACTTTGGGTGAAACGAACAATCTGGGTGAAAGGAGAGGCATCCTGGCTTTGGTGGCTTTGACCCAAATCGGTCTCAGCCAGCAGCCAAATGTCCATCTGCTTGAATCAATTGCCTTGCTGCGAGAGACCAGTTCATCCTCGGTTGATGGGTGATTGGTGGCTCAACTTTGACTGTTTTGGCGGGATATTAATGGGTAGAGTGTGAAAATCCCGCTGACCAAGCATTACAGTGGTGATGTTCCCATCACAACTAAGTTTGTCTTAGAATGGACTGGTTCATCATGATTTCCTTCATCAAAATACATTTAAATCACTTACAGTCTTTATTTCAGAAATTTGGGCAGTATGCCTCTATAATACCCCATTTTCAGGTACGAAGCCCATTATATTGGTGACTATACACATGTATACTGTATAGTATACATATATATATATATATGTCCCATACAATAGCCCCATGACATGGTTGATGCAACCCCCAAACTTGGTTCAACTTGGTTCAATCCTCATCACCGCCACTGGTGCCTCCACAACAGCCTTTCCGTGTGGGGGGTGCATCCTCCGCCACCAGGAGGGTTGCTCTCGTCCGCCGTCCGGTATCACCTGCGAGCAAAAACGCCCACGGTGGCAGGGAGGATCGTGATGATGATCGGCAATGCTATCAGGATCCTCATTCTCAGCATCAGCATCATCATCATCATCATCAGTATCATTAGTTTCATTAGTTTCATTGGTATCATTGGTGTTATCCTTATCATTATCATTGTATATCATCGTCACGTCATTATCACTATCATAATGATAATATAGTATCATCAATATTACAGTGGGATTTATGGAGCACCAAAACAATTGATAACGTGAAATTCTGAAGTTCAATCGGGCGGTGGCACCTCGCGTTTTGGAGGCCACAACCTGGACGCCAGGGTGGAACCAAAGCCTTCAGCCATGGCCAAACCACCTGGGATCCCAACATCCTCCACCAGAGCACCAAATGCCTCCTGAATTCGACGCCCAGAAAATGACGGTTGCATCACACCTTTCATCCTTTGATATTTCTTGGGGCTTGTTTCGTTTTGTTTGGACATCAATTGCCGTTGCTAAGCATTGTGGTACTTGCGACGTTTATTCTGTTTATTTTCATCTCAGAATGTTTTTGCAAACCCAAAGAGACACAGTTATATATATATATATGTATATGTGTGGGTGTGTATGTTCTGCAGAGTCAATTCTCACCCATACGGCTTATAAATATGACGGAACCTGTATACACCATCATCCACCAACCTGTGCACTTAGAATCCTGCACACTGATCGCAAAAAGACAGCACAGCAAAACTCAAAATAGCAGGGAATAGACTTTCGTGTCTTCCTATCTCTTTAAGCAACCCCTACACATGTGTATGTATATATATATATTTATTTATCTATTTATTTATATATTATATATATTTTTTACACATGGTTACTTCTTGTAGAATCTCTGACTAAACAAGCGTATTGACAGCCCGCGGTTCTCCCATGGTCTCTGCTCCTCAACTCCATGCCCAAGCTTTGCGGAAGCCTGGGACAAGCAAAACGGCTTGCTGGAAGCGTCAACCGCCATGATCCCCACAGTTCCTAAATCATTTGTATCCGGAGTATACGCATGCCAAAAAAGATAGAAATGTAATTTATCATTAGTGTAAGACGAATTTACTTCTCTCTGGGTGCTATATATATATATATGCTACCCCCCCCTGAAACCTACCGGTTTCGATCTTTTTGTTGTGTTTTACAATATTTTTTGTTGGTTTTTGCCTTCCAAAAGCAGCCAACATTTGTTCATTCATTTGAAGACTTTGGATGTTTGAACATGATGAGTCATGATGCTTCATGTGTAGATACAATGACATATCTTGATGGTATTTGCAGTGTTTTCGACTACCGTATTATATTGTGTTCCCAACAAAGGGTTTCGATTCAAACATTGACAGAATGCGCACGGCACTGTGGCCAAATGTCAATTTTAAGCTTTACATTGGTTTTTACAATGTGTTTGTTCCTTTTTGTGACACGTGAAATTTTGGATTCTGGACACCTTCAGATCTTGCAGACATATTATTTGATGAACAATATGGTAGATATTTCTTGGGCCTTTTTTTCCTTACTATATAGCTTCTCTCTTGTTGCACTGCTGCAGTGGCTCAATACTTTGGATGATGTGTGGGTCTTAGGAGGTCCTAGGACCTCTTAGTTCGTACCCCTTCCAAACTATGTTGTAAGTATAATTTACGTACCTCCACGTACCTCAACCTCTCTGCAAGGTTTCCCTAAAGTAGTGATTCAACCCATATGAAAAAGATCCGACTTTGGGTCTTTTCCCCAAACCTGAAAAAGGCAGTGAAAAACACTGTAAATGACTACAAGAGACGATCAAACATGCATCCTTCTCTTAACCAATTCTAAGTGACAAGAGCAAGCTTTACAAACAGACACTTTCATTCAAAGAGTGTAGCCTTCCTTAAGCAAAACGAGTATATATTCCTTTTCAATAGGTAGCATTCCTTTGCAGAAAGCCACTTCTCTTGAAAATATATCCCTTCATTTCGATCAATCACTCTTTTTTCCAACATGTAAATATGCATTGTTTATTCACAGACCCATTTCATAACGTATTAAGTATAATACTTCTGGAAGGAAGAAACACGTTGCACAAACAGTCCCTGCAACATACAAGGCATCTTCCAATCAAATGCAGTATCCCTTCAAATCAAATAAGACTATCTTCAGAAATGTAACCATTACTTACTTTGAGGAGCATACATGTTTTTCTCTAAGTGACACTATATTTGTTGAAAAACAGGCTGGATATTTAAAAGAACATGCTGCACATGTGGCACAAGTACTGCTACATTGTGCTTTCTAGAGTCAGTATGCCCTAATGTTTTGACAGTAATTGTGTATACTTGAAATGAACAAATGTGAGCCGTCTTTGCTTAAATAAAAACATCACAAATGCGACCTGTGTGAGATTGCCACCGCCCCTTCTGAAGAAAAGTGACTTGAAAGGGCACAGCATAACTTCAATAAGAAAGCTCTCTTAGTCTATGCAGTATTCACTGGAAACAATAATAGTTTCAAAAGAGTTGTAGTGTAGCATTGTTTTTTTGCAATTTTCCATTGACAAGAGTGATACATTCCTTTAACATGGTGGGGCATTCCTTCAAGAAAATGGAGCATTGCTTTGACACAGTGTGTTCATTTATTTATCAGACTTGGGGAAAAGACCCAAAGTTGAAACTTTTTCACGGTAGTTGAATCAATCCCATCTGCTTAAGGGAAACCCAAGATGGATGCATTTCCACAGGAATGCATTCAGAATGCATTATTTCCCTAATCTAAGAACTAAGATATAAGATTTGCTCAGGAGTCTTTGGGGAATCTTAGATTTAAAACCAAGAACCAAGAACCAAGACTTGCTCAGGAGTCTTTGGGGAATCTTGGTTCTTGGTTTTGGGGAATCTTAGATTTAATAACCAAGAACCAAGATTTGCTCAGGAGTCTTTGGGGAATCTTGGTTCTTGGTTCTTGGTTTTGGGGAATCTTAGATTTAAGAACCAAGAACCAAGATTTGCTCAGGAGTCTTTGGGGAATCTTGGTTCTTGGTTCTTGGTTCTTGGTTTTGGTTCGGAAATTCCAAGATTTGTTCAGGAGTCTTTGGGGAATCTTGGTTCTTGGTTCTGGTTCGGAAATTCAAAGATTTGTTCAGGAGTCCTGGGCGAATCTTGGTTCTTGGTTTTAGCAGAGAATGCATTCTGAATGCATTCTTCCCAGAATGCAGAGAATGCATTCTGAATGCATTCTTCCCAGAATGCTATCATTGCAGTTAAGTTCAATCAGTCTCAATAGCATACTTATTACACTATTAGAATATATATATATATAATATATATATATATATGTATATAATACCCTTAGCGTGTATGTAAGGTACAGTAACCCCCTTTTGACCCAACCATCTGATGAATATGTCAAAAAGGTAGGTTTCAGGGGGGGTACCATGTATATATATATATATACATATATGTATACACATATACACATATACACATATACACATATACACATATACACATATACACATATACACATATACACATATACACATATACACATATACACATATACACATATACACATATACTATATACACATATACATATACATATACATATACATATATATATATATGTAAATCATACATCCCCAATGGATCCCAGCCATGATGAGCTGACCACTTACTTGACCTCCACAGGTCTAAGGACCAAACCAAACTGTGCCTGGCATTGATGCTCCTCCCAGCTGCCAATGGGTCACAACCGGGGTAACCATTCGCCCACAAAATTTGTTCCTCTTAATCTGAAATCCAAATTTGAAAATTTGGGATGCCAAACATTTTGACCCAGACCCTCCCGTCCTGGCATAGGTCTCAGCATCCGCTTTGGGAACCCGTGCCTGACAGCAATGTGTTTGAGGCATCGGCCTTGCATTGGGCTTGCAGGTCGGGCTGCCTGCGACTGCAGGTCGCACTTGTTGCCGACGATGGCCAGATTGCACTGGGTGCCCTCACTTCAGAATAGAATCCCAGCTATCAGATTCAAGGGAAAGAATTGTAGTCTGTGTCAAGTAGGTTGAGTGTCCAGCTGCAACTTGAAGTTCTTCGACCCATTTTGCTACTCTCCTACGGGTTGGTAGGAGTCACTTGTCTGGTATCACAGTTGTCCTCATCATGACAGTGCTCTTTCAACCCACCTGAAGCTTTCAGCATCTGTGGTGTCGTAAACCAACAATGCACCTGCAGGTGAGGTATGCAGTGCCTTTTTGCACCAGCTTAACTTCACAATGAAACGACGTCGTGATCCCAAAATGAACCAATTAACAATTCACCTCACAAGTGACACTAACATGAGGGTATTTCCAATTATGATCAATCCCAGCTTAACTTCATCACATCTCTTTAAACTGGGCTCACCGTCAGCGTCCCGGTAGTAGATGGGTGCCAAGGAGTGAAACCGCTCCTGCGGCAGTGGTTTCAAATGTGGCCACAGGCCATGGGAATGTGCCGAGAGTCAAAGGGCTTCATGATAACCAAAAAAAGGTGTCCATCTATGATTGTTATCATTATTATCATCATCGTCGTCATGGTCGTCCTCCTCCTCCTCCTCCTCCTCCTCATCCGCCTCATCATCATCATCATCATCATCATCATCAGTGTTTATTCAGCAATGTTATTATATACTGTGTTTGTCTGATTTAGTGTTATCATTATTTTCATTACGTACTATAAGTGGCTCCTGACCAGCCGTGTCCCAGAGCGAGAGTTGCACCTGTCAAGCACACGGCCCGTGCCAGGCCGGTGCCTTAAAGGTGCCTTAAAGAACTTGTCCCAAAAATCTAAGAACTGCGATCTGAAAAAATGTAAAATTTCATGTAACTCCAATTTCATGCAACTTTAACTTCCGACACTTGGAACTTTGTGGGTATGTCTTTTGTCGGAATTAAGTCCGTAAACACTTCACAAGGCGCTTGTGATGCCTTGCCTGTGTCCCTCGAAGCTGCACCACTTTGTCCAAATATGCAGCGCTTTGGGTCGAAGCCTCCCATGGACGCATATCTCCACAAGATCTTGAACCAGAATTTTGGATCAAATTCTTTGGATCAAATTTGGCCATTCCCAGAAACTTGTTGCTGACCTGTTTTTGCCCTTTGTTTTGGATTTCATGTCATGCTGCGATGCTGCTGCAATCCATCCTCTTGGTCGCTGAAGGTTTGGGTAACATAGCGGCGCAGCAGCGAGGTTTTGCCAACTCTTCCCTGGGCGTTAAAAAAATGACAACCCCCAAAGGTGACCCCCCAATGATAGATGTTTAACAGTTACTAGTTTCTAGGTTTTCGAAGGAAGTTTAGAAGTCAAACTTCCGACAATATGGACAAATGCAAAAGCAGAGGTGGGAAGAGTCAGAGAAGAGAAGTACCACTACTACCTCTACTACCTCTACTACCTCTACTACCTCTACTACTCTACTACTACTACTCTACTACCTACTACCTACTACTCTACTCCTACCTCTACTCCTACTCCTACTCCTACTCCTACTCCTACTCCTCCTACTCCTCCTACTCCTCCTACTCCTCCTACTCCTCCTACTCCTCCTACTCCTCCTACTCCTCCTACTCCTCCTACTCCTCCTACTCCTACTCCTACTACTACTCCTACTACTCCTCCTACTCCTCCTCCTACTCCTACTACTACTCCTGCTACTACTACTCCTACTCCTACTCCTACTCCTACTCCAACTACTACCACCACGACTACTACGACGACGACGACTACTACTACTACTACCACCACCACCACCACCAACACCACCACCACCACCACCACCACTACCGCTACCGCTACCGCTACCGCTACTGCTACTGCTGCTGCTGCTGCTACTACTACTACTACCACCACCACCACCAACACCACCACCACCACCACCAACACCACCACCACCACCACCACCGCTACTGCTACTGCTGCTGCTGCTGCTACTACTACTACTACTACAAATGCAAATAAACTATGCTACATTACACTGCACTAATTACACTACACGACGCTAATTGCATCTAATTACACTACACTACACTAATTACTCTACAACTACAACTACTACTACTACCACAGCTGCAACTACAATTACAACTGCACCACATCACACTACACTGCACTAATTACACTGCAGCAAACTACAACTACAAATACATCTGCGACTACAACTACATTACGTTACACAACACTACACTACACTACATTACATTACACTATAACTACAACTACAACTGCAATTACAATTGCAACTACCACTAAATTGCACTACACGACGCTACACTAATTGCACTACACTGCACTACAACTACAACTACACTACCATACACTACACTACACTAGACTGCACTACACTATACCAAACTACAGTACACAACACTACAGTACACTACAATACACTACACTAATTACACCACACTAATTACACCACACCACAACTACAAGCGCAACTGCGACTGCAACTGCACTACCCTAATTACACAACATTACAACTACAACTCCACTACACTACACTGCAACTACGACTACAACTATAACTGCACTACACTACATCCAGCAGTTGTGGTGAGGTGACCACTGCAAACATTGCAACCACTCCAAAAAACACAACTCCAACCACCTTTCGGTCCATCAGTGGATTCGCTCTGCCATCCGTGATTCACAGCAACCAACCTCTCCTATAGGTTTCCTATTTTTGAAACTTCCGCCACCGCCTTGTGCGGTACTACTGGTATTAGATATTATCGTTGATGGTGATTGATGGTGGTTGATGGGTAATGAGACAATCCTCCAAGAATAAACGAACATTTAAAAAAAGAACAGTCCATCTACAGTCCAGTTTGAGACATGTCTTGCCACCCATCTTGAAGCCGCCAATGCACCTCGCCCAAGATGACTATCTTGAACGGCCCAAGTTTTTTCTCGCTCATGGCATCTTGTAAAACTACCTTTGGGGAAATGGCAAGGCGTCACAATACACAAAGTAATTTACTCTTTCTGGGTTGGTAGGATAGCACGTGTTAAGTGAAGACTGTTTATGAAGCTTGATGAGAACCGTCTATGTACGTGTAAAACGAAGGCAAACTGCATTCCTTGGTATCCTGTGCTACTGCAACCCTCCAGTTGTTGAGGCAAATGTCAAGCTCAGTCAAGCTCCCAGCCAGAGTTCGTTTCAGAGTTGTCGAATCAAGACATTGCCCAATTTCCACAGCACATGTCGCTCCTGTCGGCCCCAGTTGTGAACTGATTGGCCTTCCCTGACCTTCCCTTTTCCATACTTTTCTCCTCACGAGCACTGTTCTCCAGCATCGAATTGAATGGATTGGATTCCGATGGAGCGCTACTTTCCGCTCGAAGTAGGGAAATCACTTGGGAAATCGCCGGCTGCAGCTTCGCAGCTTCATGGCTTCACCAAACCTATACCTGGATCCTGGGATTCTCCTGGGCCAGGTTTCAAACTGCCCCAGCTCAGCTAGAAAGCAAGAGTTCAGCCTTGGACTTTCACATTGGCTATAGAGAAACAACCAGTCACTTGTACTGGTACGTTCGAAGCTGTTCTCATCAGACCACTTCAAAAGACAACTGCAAATTTCATCTTTTCCATGTCGAGTGGGGAGGGTTCCATGATTACTTGTTGGTTTATATATAATAATTATAATATATATATATATTATTAAACATCTTATCAGTCCATCATCCCTATTGAGTTTGTTTGGCCAAAATTTCTACCATCAACCAACAAGGATCAATAAGAGAGCTGCCTCGGTGCACTAAGGTCGCTGCCGCTTGCTCCACATTCCCCTTGGCAGCCTGTCGGGAGAGACATGTCCAATATGTGTGGTTGGTGATATCAATGACACCCCGGTGGATTTGTCTGAAAATGGAGTCCACTTTCTTTATTACAATTGCCATTTGGGGGTATGATCCATTTTCAGACACCCCAGTACATGTCTTTTCTGTATCCCGCGTGAATGTTGTTTACATCTGGATCATCCCGAATTGATTGTTGGTTGTTTCCCGGAGGCTTTGTCAACCGGTCTACCCATCAGTTCTTGATTCTTGAGGGTACCCAGCATCTTTCGCCCCAACATCCGCAGCCTCCAAGGCATTTTTGGATTGCTCTCGATCAAAGCCCATGCTCACAAGCTGCTCCAAAGCCGGATTCCCTGCACAGCACCAAGACCAAAGCATCCCCCTTGAACAAACTATATTTCTGTGGCTTCTCTGGTGCCTCCTCTTCCAGTTGGCTTCAAAAACTGTGTCAAGGAAACTATTGATTTGCTAGTATGTTGAGCTGGCTAGTCTCAAAAAGGATCGAATTCCAAAAGACGCTCGGATGTAGTCTTCTAAATCCACCCCTAACATATCTGGGCGTGCCTGAAAATGGGGAATACCCCAAAGATTGCTATTCATACATGGGGAAGAGATATTTTGGAGGTTTCCCAACATTTTCAAACCCGTCTGACATTCCAACATCCCAAAGTGTCTGGCCTTCGGGAACAGCTGGTGGAGCCGGTGCAGCTGGCACTGCGGCCGCAGGCGCCGGCGCGGCCGTGGGCGGGGCCGGTGCCGCTTCGGGTGAGGCGGGAGCGGGACCTGGACAAAAACTTGGAGGAAAAGCATAGAAAAGCTGCATCAAGGGTAAGTTTACGATGCGGGAACCCAATTCCCCTGAATTTGGAAAGAAACATCCAGCAAACCCCCAAAACCAGCTGGTTTTCCCAATTGCTGAGTTGTGTTGGCTTAGCACAAGCGATCCTCGAGTTGGACACATGTCAAGTGGCAAAATGAACCCCACCCCAGGCCTCCACCACCTCCAAAACGAGCAAGTCGTGCCTTAAGCAAACCAACTCGCAGAAGAGCTGGTTAGTGCACCAGTGAAGTTCAGATCCAGACTGCCCTCAGAGCAGCTGCATCATTTGAAGCAGGAGGTGCTGCAGCAGCGGCAGTAGGTTGGGCCTCATTTTTTCCAGAACCATCAGTGACAAACCACCGCGTTTGTCGCTCCAAGAGGCCGGCAGCCCCTCCGCCAGAACTCAATGTTTGGCCAGATCCAGCGAACAGACTGTATGTCTGTCCAGGTCGTCCACAACCTGGCTAAAGGTGACAAAGAACTTCAAGATCTAAGCAAAAGAGGAACCTGACACATCCTGAGACGATACGTTATGTTTGTCAGTCAAACAAACAGGGTAGCCAAAAATCCTATGATTTATAGTAATTTTCCCGGTTCGAATTAAATTGCAATTTTGGGGGTGTCCGCCATTTCTGAAAAAAGCCCATCTGGTGCATCAGGAGCGGCGTGACCTTGAACTGCTTCTAAAAGTTTCTTGTGGTTGTGCTCTTCTTCCAACTCACACCTGCAGCTCGCAAAACTGCAATCCTGTCGTTTCTTCCAAACGCTGGAAGAATTGAGATCCTGGCTTGGGGAAGGTCCCACGCACAACGAAGACGCTGTAGCCTTCTCGGACCTGGTTGAAATTGATTTTGTCTCCAAAAATGGGGTGGGGGGCATCCATCTTAGTTTTGAATGGTCGTTCTTGTAAGGAATAAGGAAAACAACTCGTCCCTTCCCCCCGATATAAAACAACCCCCAAGAAATCATGGTTTGGCAGCGGATCTACACATGTTTGGGACCACTTATGGGGTGTTTAGTATTAGGGGGATGGGCCATGGATTATCGTTGGGGGTGTGGTACAGCCATCACTGAGCCCCTGGCAGCATCACGAATGTGAAAGTCCAAGTCCCCAGGGGTGTAGTGTGCAGGATTGGGAAGGCAGCTGTTGAGGTCAAACCTAAGTAGTACTCTGAACAAACTTTGCAAACCGAAATCCCCATCTTTGACACATTTTTTGTGTTGACTTTTAATTAACTATTGCAATAGATCAATTAGCTAATCAACCAATAAATAAATTAATAAATGTCAATGTCTAACTACGTCCATATCTATAGAATCTATATATTTATATACATATATATATAATTATATATATTATATATACATGTGTGAATTGTGAGTTGATGGGTTGTTCAATCAAAAATTAATAGTTTAGTTTTAATGGCCACCTTTGTTTACCGCAGGGTGCCTAACCATCCTCACCTGAGACCAAGACCATTCCGCACCTATCCTTCGGAGGCTGAACCAATGTTCATTCCTTGGCCAAAGAAATGATCAAATCCATCAACTCCTTGGGGATTCCTGTTGTCGCCTCAAATCTCTGGAAGCCTTCTCTGAATCAGCTGAAACAAGCGTCCCGAGGCCAGAACTTGTTCAGGATGAACGCTGTTTCCTTCACCCGGTCAATTTTGCATTCCTTGGCCGCCTCCCAAACGCAAGGACTGCAAGGACTGTCGCCCCCCAAGCATCTCGGTGAGCACCTCTGAGGAGATCGGCAGCATGTCCAGCTTAGGCACTCCGCTACGAGTGTTCCCTTTTCTCAAGACTTCCTGGCAGATGGGTAACAGCCACTTCCACCATCAATGAAAACCACTGAGACTGCTTGGTTAGTTCGACTTGGTTAGGCTTGGAACATCCAAATAAGCCTCGGTGGTATCCCCAACAGCCGCAACATTTTATTTTTACTATTTTACAAATCTTTCTGAAGCGTGCTGCGAAGCCAAACACCTAAGCTGAGTTTCTGTGAGTTAAATAATTAAATGCCCACAAATCCTGTTGAACCTGACCCGACTCTGCACCAGAGCCTCCCAAACCTTCTCCGGAACCTTCTCCGGAACCCTGTTGAACCTGACCTGGCTCTGCACCAAAGCCTCCCGGAACCTTCTCCAGAACCTTCTCCGGAACCCTGTTAAACCCAACCGGGCTCCGCACCAAAGCTTCCCACACCTTCTCCGAACTGTTGAACCTGACCTGGCTCTGCACCAAAACCTCCCAAACCTTCTCCGAAACCCTGTTGAACCTGACCTGGCTGCACCAAAGCCTCCCAGACCTTCTCCAAAATTTTCTCCGGAACCCTCTTCGGAACCTGTTGAACGTGGCTTGGCTTTGCACCAAGGCTTCCCGGAACCTTCTCCAGAACCTTTTCCAGAACCCTGTTGAACCTGACATCGCTCTGCACCAAAGCCTCCCGGAACCTTCTCCGGAACCTTCTTCGGAACCCTGTTCAACTTGATCTGTCTCTGCACCAAAGCCTCCCAGACCTTCTCCGGAACCCTGTTGAACCTGACCTGGCTCTGCACCAAAGCCTCCCAGACCTTCTTCAGCACCAAAGCCTCCCGGAACCTTCTCGGGAACCTGCTTCGGAACCCTGTTCAACCTGGCTTTGCACCGAAGCCTCCCAGACCTCCTCCTGAACCTTCTCCGGAACCCTGTTGAACCTGACTTGGCTCTCCACCAAAGCCTCCCAGACCTTCACCGGGACCTTCTCCGGAACCCTGTTGAACCTGACCTCACAAACCTTCTCCAGGACCTTCTACGGAACCTTCTCCGGAACCTTCTCCGGAGCCCTGTTGAACCTAACCTGGCCCTGCACCAAAGCCTCCGCTCCGGATTCTTCTCCGGAACCTTCTCCAGAACCTTCTCTGGAACCGTGTTGAACCTGACCCGGCTCTGCACCAAAGCCTCCCAAACCTTCTCCGGAACCTTCTCCCCAACCTTCTCCGGAACCGTGTTGTTGAACGTGATGTGGCTCTGCCCCAAAGCCTCCCCGACCTTCTCTGGAATCTTCTCTGGAACCTTCCCCGGAACCCTGTTGAACCTGACCTGGCTCTGCCCCAAAGCCTCCCCGACCTTCTCCGGAACCTTCTCCTTCGGAACCCTGTTGAACCTGACTTGGCTTTGCAGAACCTTCTCCGGAACCTTGTTGAACCTGACCTGAGCCTCCCAGACCTTCTCTGGAACCTTCGGAACCTTCTCCGGGACCTTGTTGAACCTGACCCGGCGCCTGCACCGGTGCACACCGGGGCTATTCTGGGCTGAAGACCCCATTAGCTTACGCTGCTGGGGAAAAAGACACGATGGATTCTCAGATCTTCCCATGGTAAATGGTTGTACCACCCCACTGTCAGGCCTGAACCACTTGCACATTGTAGAAACCATCCATGCGCGCATTGCCTCGTGGCCACAAGGACACTTGGTTTGTGAATAGGGATTCCCAGCTCATGGATTCTGATAGTCCCCAATACATTGGGTAGTATAACTATATACATATATATATATAGATATATATATATATATATGGGTATGGATCAATACCTATTAATACCATTTTTAGGGGAATGAACATCCATTTACCAGCTATTTTGATGTTCACCAGGGCTACAAGGTTTTGACACACTGCCATATATCAATAAATATATATATATAGATACATGTAGTATAACACCCTGTAATCATCAACCAACAAGGGGGATTTGAACACTGCTCAGTTCTGTGGAAAACGACTGACGCTGAGCCACCGACCGAAGTCCAGGTTGTCTCCTCCCAACAACCTCCTCTCTGCGCTGTCCAGTTCCTAGGTTCACAGTTCTTCAATCTGACTGATGTCACTTGACTGAAGCAACACCTATCGCCACCATTGGCGCCCATGGCTGCTGTGTCATGGCTGTGTCTAGCTGCAACCAGAATTCCATTGCAACCATCCTGAAGAAGCCGTCGTCGTAAGCTGGTTTCTGGCATCAAGTGGTTGATCAGCTGGGGTCATCAGCGCGCAAAGTCAGCTGTCATCAACCCATCTTCCCCGTCCTGGAGCAGGTTGTTCACACAATGCAAAGCCTGGCCAAGGCTGTCTGTCTGAATGTGCAAACATGTGTGTGTGTATTATATATAATATACGTATATATAATATATACATAGATACATATATTATATATATATACTATATACATCTATATACTAATATTGTTTGGTCCTAGCATGAATGTAGATAAATCAACACTGAGACACTGCTGTGTTTTGATGTATTTTGTCGCCAGATTGTTCTAGAGTCATCGATAGATAGCCGACACCAGGATTGAGGCCCTGACACACAGTGAACCAACCTGCTTTTCGTGGTAGATGCCGCCAGGTCCATAAGGACTCTTGTTTTTTCCTCAGGGATTCGGAAACTACCCAAACTCAGCCCAGGTCATTTCTGTGCAAGCACTCCAGGATCTGTTTTTTAATAGTTTTCCATTCTTTGAAGGAGCAAAGGACGCTCCTAGCATTTCGAAGTTTGACCATCAAATAGGGCCGTGACCATCCGCATTGTCTCTGGCAGCACAATCTGCAATCCCAACGATCGGCCTCGGTGCAAGTTCAATGCATGACTCCCATCCGTTTTCATCGCATGGGAACTTCACATGCAGAGTTTTGAACATGAAGCGTTGCCAACGAAGAATGGGAAACAGAGAGAACAGAGTTGAAACATTCATAAACATTCCAAACACTGCTGGTGAAACATCATTCATCATCATATTCATCATCATTTTCATCATCATTTATTATAACGTGTCATCATTCATCATCATTTCACATGTCACAAAACATCATTCCACATTTCACACAGGTTGTTTCACGAGACTCCAACATGGATCCTGGACACTCAAAGTGTGACCTCTAGCAATAAGAGCCACAAATCGTCTGCGGTCCCGAACAAAACGGGAGGTGTCGGTGTGTCTGCAAGATCAGCTACTCATGACATGAATCACTGGATTTCAAGGTCACCAATTTCGAGACCTGGACGACTTGGATGACTTGGAGGGTCAAGGCTTCGCTCTGCTTTGTTCGCTTGTCCATTTTTGCAACATGTTGGCGGATGACAAAGCTTCGGCTGCAGTTCTACAAAAGAAGAAGGCACAGGCAGAGTTTGTCCCGCCACTGCTTTCCTCAATGCCGTCTCTTCGACCATGAAGTCCTGGACGAAGTCGCGTTTGGCATCACCGGCAGGGCCACTTTGGGCGTGCCCGATGGCATAGCCATTCTTCAGGAAATTCACTTCCAAAAACCAAACAGTTTCGGTCTGATCAATCAGAAAGTCAAAGCCGAAACGCCGAAGCTTCTTTCCAGCAGCACTCCGGCCCATATCGCCCGTTTCATCACACGGATCCAACGGGAGAAGAGATGTGGGATGTAGACTTAGTGCATAAAACAATGAAGAAATGATTCTCTCGATTTGAGGACGAAAGCTGTCATCAAAGGATGGTCTGCCTTTAGCTGCTAGGTAGGAATTCAAATCACGGATGGGCCAGCGCCGTTGGCTTTCGTATCCAGCACCTTGCCTCAGATTTGTAATGTGACTCAAAGGATCAAGTTGTGATGTAAATGGGCAAAGGGCCAAACTCACAAAGCCCTCGTTGTAGAGCCATATTCGGCAGGGCGACCGCAAAGTGGCTAGAACAATCATCCGCAGATTGTACTTGAATTTCCCTCCAGAAACTGAATCTCCAGCTGGGTTTCCTAGATTTCCTAGGTTTCCCAGCAGCTGCTTGTCCAACAGGTGAGGTTGCTCGATGAGCTTTTGTAACACAACGCCTTCCTTGACATCATTCCCACCTTTAAGTCCCCCGCGCCCGACGGCAGCAGCCCACTCAAGTAGCTGCCCCGGGTCTTCCGGCAAGCGATCGATCAGCAAAATTCCGCGGCCAAACTGTCCGCAGCTGGGTTTCAAGGCCCAAAAATTGCGATGTAACAACGATGCCTGACGTTCTGGCATCAAATCTTTCACACGGCTCCAGGTATTTCTACACCTCTCCACCTGGGCAGTTGATATGCTTTCCAAAGAACTCTGGGTATCAAAGCTGCGAATTTGGATCCACTCCAACTCACTCAGGGGTTTACGATCGCTACTGTCATCTTCAAATAGCCTGCATTCAATGATGGACAGGGCCACATCAACCATCTCATTTGAGAGCGGCTGATGAGCTTCCGGCCCTGGTTCCCAGCGAATGGTCGGAAGTTCCCGACCCCATAATCCTTCTGGTGTGTAGCCGGTGATCCCAGCTCCAGTCACTTCAACATCTCCACACGCCACATGTTTCACAAGCGCCAAAGCTTGTGAGATTTTGAAGTCCAAAACAAAGCTATTGAACTCCTCCCTGAAAAAATCGCCTGGCAGCAAAATGTAGCTTCTGGGAGCGAAAGCATGCTCGGCTCCTCGAAGTTTTCGGAGATTCAAGGCCAGCAAATGTTTCAGGTGGACCTCAGAAACTGAGCCAGGTCCTGCATCATGTCCTCTTGCACAAATCAAGAGTGGTTCATTCCCATCCATAGCCAATTGCCTTGAAACACAGTTTGTGGGAAACAGGCCTCTTACAAAATGATCAAAATATGTTGAATCCATGTCGAATCCATGTTGAACCTTGGCATGGCTTTGCAAATGCAGATCAGCCTTGTTGATTGATCACACGTGTCAATGCGAGTCGTGTTGCTGCTGTTTGCGGCAGGGGCTTGTAACTTTGCATAGATCCAATTATGGCCTTCCATGGATATCGGATTCGGTATGTACCTGATCAATTTGTTTAAGCTTCTAATTGGTCCGTGTCCAACAAATCTCCAGTCTTGAGCAACAAAATGGGCTGCAAGCATTTTGAGCACCCAAAAGCACAGTGCAACCTGCTTAACCTACTTCTATCGCGCCATTTTTTCAGTGACGCGTAAGATCTTTAGATGCCTTGCATTTAGGGCTGAATTAATTGCAAGCAAACATCGATGCCTTCTTGCTTCTGATCTTGACGTGGTACTTCCTGCTCTGCATTTTGAGATTCCAGGGCTTCCAGAAGTTATTCCACTTTGAAGGCATTTCACTTGTCTGCTTCAGCTAAGCTACGTGCGAAAACATCGCAGGCTGGCGCAAATTGAGGGCTGTATGTGTGATCAACACTTTCAACAGTCTACATCCACATGAAAACACTGGTTCCTAGTAACTTCCTCTTGACACATTGCCGCCACAAACATTTCTTTACAGTACAGGACCCACCGGATATGCTTTTGCTGATCCTGAGGCGGGCTCTGACTGCAGATCCACTCAGGAAAGCTCTACGGAAAGGTCTTCTTTGTCATGATGTTGTAGAAGTCCTGCAGCCCACCGAACGCGCATCCACTTGTCAACTCAATTTGCGGATTGAATTCATGAGACACATGAAACAGATATGAAACTGCTTCACCTAGGTGAACATCCAGTGCCAACAAATGTCAACAAATGTCAACAAATGTGTCACAAGCAGTTCAGCCTCAGGAGTGATTTGGCCATCTCCATTGCTATCAGCTCGTTCGATCATTTCGCGGAGCTCCTCACGTCCCATCCCAGCTGTCACCGCGCCATGGGTCCTTCCCAGTGGCTTCCCAGTGGCTTCCCAGTGGCTTCCCAGTGGCCCTGCCTCCTCAGTCATGGTTTCACCCAATTCCTTGGAAACTCTCTTGAGATTCTTCAGGCTGATCGTCCTGCAAAAAAATCACAGAAAAAGATGACAGTGACACCTGGAAAAAGAAAGGTGCGACTGCAGTGACTGCACCCGGCACCGGCACACTGTTTCAAACCGTATGAGTTGCCCAAAAAATGGCTGATACCACCAAAACGCTAGTTTAAAAGACGGACATCATGAAAAATGTGGGATTTTGGGGTACCCCGTATCAGACAAAAGCAGATTATCTGTTGAAATATGTCCCATCTTCCCAGACAGTCCCTGTTTTGTCGTCATCAAACAGGCTAAAGATTTTGTGGATGCCGTCCCGCGACTCTTTGTCGCCCTCAGCGGAGCTTGCCAGTGGCTGGCAGTCTGGTGGGTCTTGGAATTGTGTGTCTTCTGGGCAAATTTGTGCCATCCAACCATCCAAGCGACTAGTTTTGCTGTAATCGCATCAAGGAAGTCTTCAAAGCCAATTGTCGACCCTGGCAAAGCCAGCAAAAATGACAGAGCTTTGTAAATAACGCATCTGCAATCTGTCACAAGGTGCACAGGCAAGGTTAGATCAAATCCGATCGACCTACAAGAAAATGCCTTCAACAAATGAAAACTGAGGACTTGACCTATAGGCTATAGGACTTGACTTAGGACTTGAATTAGGACTTTAGTATACTTTAGTAACCTTAGTGCCAACTTAGTGCCAAGGATTGTTTGAAGCACGGGCCAAATGGACCATCTTGATCCAGGTCTGCGATCATCTGGAAGATGGTGGGATTCTTTGTCTCGAAGCCCAGAGATCTCATGGCGGCCTTTAGCTCGCCCCTGGGCGATGCGGAGCAAATGCGGAACCCGATGGGTGGAGAAATCTACGGTCAAGATGTGGAAACCACGGTTTTCCCCCAACTTCATTGGAGGTTTCTGTAGATTTTCCCTTCAATTCTTGGAGATGTGGAACCAAGAAACACCCAAAATATTCCACACTGACACCCCAACGAGCCATTGAACAATTTTTTGAGGGAGAGAGTGGCAGTCTGAAGGTCTGAAGGTCGGACGGGTCGATTGTGCCAGAACCATCCGTGTCGAACAGGTTGAAGGCTTCTCTGATTTCATCTATCTCATCCTGTGCGAGTTTGATTCTTTCCCACTTCATGGATGATAGTCTGATAGTTCCCTTCTTTAGTGGCTAGTGCAACTATGTCTAACGACTATGTAACTATATATATTATATATAACATTATATAACTTATGTAACCCCTAACTAAGAATCAATAGCCCTTGTGTTCCGGACGACGGAATTCTCCCGGGACACCTCTGTGAGTCCAGGTTTGTCGTACGTGAGCTTCTTGCGCGGAGGACCACCCCTAGCACCGTTTCGAGACAGCGCCGGTGCTGGCAACAATAGACCCCAGGGGGGAAAGATGAGCTCCCTACGTATATTTACTGATTGGATCTTATTGGATCTTATTGGAATGTACCTCTTGTAGCCATGGAAAATTCCCCAAATTCTATGGATTCCATGCCCATTTTCCATATCTTCCAGAATCTTCCATGGCTGTTAGATGACCAGAGGGTCCCTTTTGGCACCGGTCAGGATCTACCGCTGTAGCGCCTTCGTGCCATACCGAAGAGTCCTGGACACCCAATCGCCTCCCGTCACCGAATCTTGGGCCGAACAGCTGGTTGGACCCTGCACACGGAATGTCTGAAGAAAAAATAGAAAAATGAAACAGGAAGCTGCCAAGCACAAATAATACAGTGGGCAAAGTGGTTGTCTTGTTGACATGAGTTTCGATGTGTCCTTTCTTCCCGCATATTGCGTTTGAATGCGAGAAATTGTGCGGACATACTTTGTTGGCCGCAGTGAAACGCGCCATCAGAACCAAACGGAGTGGGACTGCGGCCTTCCACGAAAAGAATTCACCAATGCCAAGCATGAACAATCAAAATTCGATCAGGATGCACGATGTCTCCAATCCATTGCGTGAGCTCCAGACTTCTCTAGCCACAGGACCGTCAAAACGTTGACAAACAAATCCTCGTCAGGCGAGGTTGGCTCGATATGTTTTTTTCACTTTGTCCTTGAGCGTGCATAAGCAACAATAAGCAACCCCTTGGCTCGGATGTCCTTTGCAGCTTCGGATTCTTCCAGGAAACATATTTCTTTGGAACTTTGTGCTGCATCATCATCACGATACCTGACTGAGGATCAGAAGGAAACAAGCAAAAGCAACAGCTATTGGCCAAGCCCTTGGTAAAGGCAAAACCTTCAGCACCACATCATCATCAACATCATCATCATCATCATCATCATCCCCGAGTCTATTAAGAATGAAGAGTGAATAAACCGTCAAGGAACCATGAAACCGACACAAAATCAATCTCGAATCTTGTTCTTCGGAATGTAGAACCGAGTCCAAAGCCACCAGATTCCATCTTCCAACCAACCGCATGTTGAGCATCCCAACATTGTTCATGAATCTATGCATTTGATTTATAGCTATGGCAAGGGTCGCCCTTTCAGAATGGTATTTCATAGGATCTTTCATAATTAGGTGTTGGTCCATCCCCATATTCTATGGATTATAAATTTTATATTAATACAATATATATATATATATACATACATTATATATTATATTATATTATATTATATTATATTATATTATATTATATTATATTATATTATATTATATATTATGTTATGTTATGTTATATTATATTATATTATGTTATGTTATGTTATATTATATTATATTATGTTATGTTATGTTATGTTATATTATGTTATATTATATTATATATATATGTATATTATATATATATGTATATATTATATATATATATCACATATATATATATACCAGCATTATTAAATCATACGCCTATAGACTCATGGTTTATATTTTGTATCCCTATTCTATCCCCAAAGTTGGGATATCTGCCTCCCATGGCGCACTTCAGCAGGACACCGCATTTCTGCTCCGGCTCAGTTAGCTGAAGTTCCCACTGCGCAACGGAGGAAATTGCTGGGGTCTTCCTCAAATTCCATGGTTTCTATGGGTTTATCATCGAAGGCTCCATGAAAAACCTGGTGAACTCACTTGGGGGAAGTATGTCAAAAATTCCTGTGAAGCATGCTGTGTGCAACAAGGCGGAGGTATGCTTTGGGACCGGAGTGGCACCTGAGCTATCCGCGCCATGCTGTCTGTCAAAGAACATATAGCCTTCAGAGTGGACCAAAGAACAGCCGAAATCAACGCTGTCCAAAGCAGTCCAAAAAAGCACGGCCTGAATGGCTTCCATCATGATGACCACTGGCACTATTTCAGATCCACCAGGTAGGAAAGACCTGAGATACAACAAATCGTGGTGTATAAATAGACTGGATATGACTGGATAGAATCATAGACCATGAAGAGAACCTGCAACCAGAGATTCCTCAAACCTTGGGCTTCCGAGCAGAGCAGAGTGATTGTTATCCAGAAAGTACCTGCCAGAAACCAAATGCCGCAGGAACTAGGTGCGAATCCCTGACATCTTTTGAAACGTTGCTCATTCTACGGTCTAGGTAACGTGAACCATCGCACGACGCAAAAATGGATCCAGTCTCAGTGGCACTTTGCTGGAACACGAGAAGGAAAGGCTGCCTGCAAGTTGGCAACGTGAGATCGCAAAATGCTGGCTGAAATCCAGCCAGAATGTCGGCTGGCTGCTCCAACATCGCCAACCCACGAAACTGGTCATGTTTGGTAAAGTCAACCCTCAAAATTCACAAACAAACTCCTTTGGCAATTTATCTTAATTTGAGGTGTTACCGGTGTTTCCCCTGCAAAAAAGAACCATTAATCTGCCATGAAACTCGCAGATTTGCTGCACCAGCTGCACCTCATCCGAGCTGTTCAGCAGCATCGCATGTCTACCCTGAACTGCAGAGCTCAGCCAGGCCTCTCGAACAGCAAATCCACTGTCGGCAGAACTTGATACCCTGGTTTTTAGGCCCAAAGGGTAGGAAATTGTTTGGGTTTTTTTTTTTTTTAGTTTGGGGATTTTTTTTTTGATTTCCGGTTCTCACCATTTTCCATGCTATTTGCAGCATTTTGGAGCTGGAAACTGCCATTTCCACGGTATGTGCAACGGTTTTGAGTTCGAACCTCTCATTTTCCATTGTATTTTCCACGGTATTTGCAACAGTTTGCAGCATGTTCTGTCCATTTTCCATGCTCTTTGCAGCATTTTTGAGCTGGAATCTGCATTTCCACCGTATGTGCAACATTTTACAGCTACATTCCTCACAGTACTTGCAGGATTTTGGAGCTGAAGGCTGACATTCCAACAGTTGTTTGTTGTTACTGTTACTGTTGTTGGTGTTGGTGTTGGTGTTGTTGTTGTTGTTGTTACCGTTAGTGTTGTTAGTGTTGTTAGTGTTGCTAGTGTTAGTGTTGTTATATATATATACAATATATATATATATATACAATATATATATACAATATACATATATATATACAATATATATATATATATACAATATATATATATACAATATATATATATATATACAATGTATATATATATATATATATATTCTAACCAAAGTAGTGTATTGAAATGTGTGCAAGCTTGAATTTAAATAAAAAAAAGCGGGAGGGGGGGATTGGGGGGGACGGCGCAGCGCCTCCCCCCCAAAGCAGATTGGAAACACCTATTTTCACATGCAAGGTGCTAGGTTGAATGTGATACTCAAGGTGTATATACTACACGACATGCACCTTGGAAACATGTGGAATGTAGGTTAAGGCACAACGATGCACAATAGTTTCATTTGATGTTATCATCGAGTTGGTTTAAGATCTATTTATATAAGGTTTGGTTCAGGGTTGGCTTGGGGTTTGAATATCATCCGGATGATAATGCAAACCTTTTAGATATATATATATATACAGATATACAGATATATATATATATAGATATATAGATAAATAGATATATAGATTTAAAGATATATAGATATAAAGATATATGTATATATACATATAGAAATATAGATAGATATATACAGATATATAGATATATGGTAGTATAAATATATATATATAGAGAGAGAGAGATATAGATATATAGAGATATTTATATAGATATATAGATATATAGTGTATATATATAGAGATATAGATATATAGATATATAGATAGATATGTATAGATAGATATGTATAGAGAGAGATAGATAGATAGATAGATAGGTAGATAGGTAGATAGATAGATAGATATATATGTATATAGATATCTAGATATAGATATATATAGAGATATATAGAAATATATAGATATATAAAGAGATATATAGAGATATATATATAGAGATATTTATATATATATAGATATATATAGATATATATATATAGAGATATAGATATTTAGATATATAGATAATTATATAGATATATGATATATATATAGATATATAGATATTTTTTAGATACAGCCATAGATGTAGATATAGATACAGATATAGATAGACATAGATAGATATAGATACGTAGATATAGATAGATATAGATATAGATATAGATGGATATAGATGGATAGAAGATGTGATGTTGCTCCACACCTCATGGAAAAGCAAAAAACAAAGAAAAGCAAAAAAGCAAAAAAGCAAAGAAAAGCAAGAAAAGCAAAAAAGCAAAGAAAAGCAGAAAAGCGAGAAAAGCAAAAAAGCAAAGAAAAGCAAGGAAAGCAAAAAAGCAAAGAAAAGCAAAGAAAAGCAAAGAAAAGCAAGAAAAGCAAAAAAGCAAAGAAAAGCAGAAAAGCGAGAAAAGCAAAAAAGCAAAAAAGCAAAGAAAAGCAAGGGAAGCAAAAAAGCAAAGAAAAGCAAGAAAAGCAAAAAAAGGAATAGAAGCAAAGAAGCAGAGAAGCACTGCAGGAGGCAATAGAGTAAGCAGGAAGAAATCCAAAAAAAATTCCCTAAACTAAAAAAAAAATAAATCCCTAAATAAATGGCCCTCCAAAAAAAAATGTAAATTGCAGTAAACCTGGCAAACAGATGTTTAACGGATGGTCATCCCAAGAATGGAATGTTTTTGGAGTACGGATCCATCCCACCATTTCTTCTATCGAACCAGTTCAACGAAACAGCTGCGATATCATGTTCTTTCCAGATCATCTGAAGTCTCCTGGCGATCAAGCAATTGCCGACGAGTATTCATTCGAGCGGTATGCACCTTGATGGTAAAAAGCGGCCAAAAGCTGAAAAAATGTGCAAATATGGGCCTGGAATGGCATATCATCAGCATTGGGTACCCTCTGGTAATTTAACATAGCTACCATTTTTAATGGGAAAATCCACTATAAATGGTCATTTTCAATAGCTATGTTAAATTACCAGAGGGTACACCCAAAATGTTTAAAATGGCCATCCCACTTGGCCATGTCATAGGCTCCGGACCAACGCATTTGAGTAACGCTCTTGTGACCGTGAGGTGTCCACAGTCTCGCACAGCTCATAGCTGACCTTGGGTTTCCAAGGCTCTGCCTATCATATCTGCAACATCCAAGAATGGCGTATACCCCCCAAATGACTAGTTTTAATGGCCAAAATATCGAAAATCAATCGTGAAATTTGTGGGCATCCTATTTTCAGAGACAAACCCAGGAAAATTCTATCGAGAAGGAGCCATTTCCGACGACAGCTTCGCACGGCTAAGACTCACGCTGGAGAGTAGCTGAGCGTCTGTATGTAAAGGGGTTGCCCAGCAACCTGCATGGTGCTGCCCTGCAATTTCTCAGCCGGAACCCGTCACCAATGGGACCGTCATGGGACCGTCATGCCCTGGCCTCATAGGCCAAACGCTGTTCATCAGTACCATCATCCACCATGAGCTGCGCCGAATGGCTGGCACTGCAGGGACATGGCCATCCAGAGCCAGATCAACAATGATCAACTAACACACATCTGAGATCTGCGAAATGATTCCCTTGTTATACTCTGATCATAGTGCAGAAGCAAACTCACTTGACATGCGCTGAAATTCAAATTAAATTGTCACCACTCGTCACTAATAACATCCTGCACATGGGCCTCTCCGTCCAGCCGGCAACATAGAGTCGGTCTTGCAAGCACTCGTCCTCGCAGGAAATAATCCTTGATGCTGTTGGTGTCTGCCACCCTTGTGAAAGATCAAAAAAAGCTGCTGTTGAGATTAAAAGGCTTCCACCTCCACCTGATATTTTGTCTCAAAGTCCTTGTCAACATCACACCGAAATTGTGTGACTCCAGTGCGAAATTCACCGTCGCACCTTGCATTCAAACGCACACTGCTGTTAAAGATGCGCAGTTTTCAAGTAGGAACCAGCCCCCAGCAAGAGATGCAAAAGATATGCAGACAAGACCCATACCAAGGAACCTCTCCAATACTGCTACACTTCCAGTCACGAAGAGATTTGGATTCAGTCGGCATTGGCCGTGCAGAGGTCTATGGATTTCTTTGAGTCTGTGCAGTATTTGTGTAAAGCACAAGTGACAACAACCAACAAAGTCTTATCAATGGTACCAAATAGATCTTGGCACCTTCTTTCCATCTGCTCTTGCTGGCAGCATTGAACCGGCCTCAGATGCATTCCGTACTGATACGCTGCTCCGGGGAAAGAAAACATCCAAGCTCCCATCAGGTTCTGACGCCTGTCCCATGGCACATGGATCCCACCAGCTCAGCAGAGCTCAGCAGGGGCTGAAAGAGTTAAGCTTTAAACACTGCGACAACTTCGTATCAACTCTTGCAGCTTCGAAAGTCTTGTCCAAATGTCAACAAAGGCATGCACATCGTTTTGAAAAAAAAATTAAAAAAATGAAAACGGAAAACAGCTGCACAGTTGAATTCAGGCCAAGTTCGCCCCTCTTTTCCCAGGATAAAGCAATGATATGGAAGTTTAGCTTCACAAACGCACGATATGCGATATGGAACGTAGAGACGTGGAATGAGATGTTGATATTGAGTCAAGGGATCAAAAACGGTCTCCAAAGCGCAAGACGCTGCTTTGCACCGTACATGCGTCTGACCATAGACTTGTTTTTTGCAAGGCTTCCACTCAGCCTGCTATTTGGATGCCTCGCAATGGTTTGGCTTTGAAGTAGGACCTAGGAGACGTGTTGTGACAAACGTGTCTTCCGGGATTCAAAATGTCATGGCGAAAGTTTAACAAGTTTATCTCACAGACTTCCCCTATTAACCATGCCCAAGTGAGGCAAGGACTGGACAGCTGCCAGACCCAAACGTTTCCCACCGAGATCCTGAGGCCCCTGCTCTCATCAATGGCACGCATGCATAGTGGACAGCGCTTGTTGCGACGAAGCCTCAGACGGTTGCAAGTCACACGAGGATAGCCAGGATAGCTGGTCTACAAATGGTTTTATAGCTGGTTAATGCTGGTTATTAAGTTCTGATGGATGTTCATCCCCATTTGTAGGATCCATCCAGACATTCGACCCCTGGACTTCACCCATGGCATGCCTCCCAATACGAGCGGTTTACACCGCTCAAGTCTCTCTGTGTCCTTTGAGGCCACAGTGTAACAACACCCTGCACTCAGGACTAATTCATGCCTGCACATGATAGTTTGGCTGGTGGCTCCTCCACAAGTATCCAAAAGTATCATGTAGTCATTGGGAATCATTGAATCATTGAATCATCATCATCATCATCATCATCATCATGAAATTCCAGGGTGACAAATAAACCAGTTCAGATTGTCTTACAATACAAAAAAAAAAACGACTACCGCTAAACCCCAATGAATTATCATCCTTATCGTAATTGTCCTATGATGAAATCACTGTAACTTGCTGCAATTAAACACTAGTCACTAGTCGATTCTCCATGGATCGTGGATTCGTGGATCGGCAACTGAGGCTATGACCACTTGTCGATGCACTGACGATGGAAGTGATGTCCACATGGCAACCTGCGCCCAATTTTGGGCAACGCCATGCGGGTCTTTTTTGTGGTCCAAGAATGGTGGATTTATCCAACAAAAATAGAGGGTATCTCCACCCATGGGGATATAACTCGGGATTTGATGGGATAACTAAGGGGGCAAATAATATGTAGGGGGGTTGTCCAAAGGCCCATTTTATTTACCCGCAACATCTGGGAACAATGAGGAGAGGAAAACCGGACACATTGGGGATACTCAATCTTCAGTCAAACCTCACGGAGCTACAAATACGCCGGATGTAGAAAGGATGCCGAAGGGTGCTGCGTGTTTTGTCAACCTAAAGGATACCCTCTGGTAAACTAACATAGCAATGGAAAATCACCATTTTTAATGGGAAAATCCACTATAAATGGCAATTTTCAATAGCTATGTTAAATTACCAGAGGGTAGCTGCCATTGCGATCTCTGAAGCTTTTCATCAGCATCAGTTCCTCACCTTCGCATCAGAACTCCCTCGCCAAATCCAGACAAGCAAATGGAGCAAGGCTCCTGAAACCCAAAGTCAGCCAGGTTCTGTGTACAAAGGCCAGGAAGCAATCCACAGCGACCTACACCAATTTATGACCTCCGACCAAACATTAAAAATCATTAAAAGATATCAACAGCATCGCATTCCATTTGAAAGTCACAGACCCAGCACCCCGCAACGTGTTCCAAACCTGCGCGTCTTCACCCTTTGCACAGCACGTCTTAAAATGGTACGCTGGGAGAGCCGAGATCTGCGAATGTGTGGCCTTAGCTCCCGAGCTACACATTTCTCATGATTAACGGTGATTGATAATCCACTGGAAATTTTGGTTGGAGAGATGGTGGATAATGATCACCAATGATGGATATCAATCAACAACAAATGATCACCGATAATGGTGGATATAACTTAACCCCCCCTACAATGATCAATCAACATGCTGGACGCTGAGATCGCCTGAGGTCGGCACCCCAATAGCTGCTGGTGCCTTGTCAGGGCTCTCTTCGTGGCCGAAGAAAGCCCTGAAGGTGCAAACTGCAAGGCCAGCACGCCAAACTGACAACGCCATGACCTAACAGGACCAGTGGATGGTCTTTGGGATCACGGCATGGCTAAACAGTCATTTGCGATGGCAGAAAGAGCAACACTGGAACATCTCAACATCTCTCCAAAAGCTACGTTCCCAGAGCCGCATCAGTCCAAACACAAGAAATCCAGGGAAGGAAATGAAGAGTGCATCAACTCCCAAATTGCTTACGGACTTGCTTCTAACTTGAGATAAGGCCCGAACAGCTGCCATCAGCTTGGAAATCGAGGGACACTCCGGACATTCGTCTGTGTGTACCCACCATACCATGCCCAAGACGAACCAGCCGTACCTCGGCAGTCAAATGGAAACATCATGTGGCTAAACAATTTGTAGGCAAGCAGTTGATGTGATGTTGAACACGTCCTGCAACACATGTCATTCGTTGTTCAAAACTCGGTAGCTGACTGGAAGACTGCCACTTTCTTGCTCATTTGCCATGCCTCCATCCACCACTCGAAGTTAGCGCTGGAATATGTCCATTTGGTGTGTCTGGAAATGGGACCGGTATACCGGTATACCCACCAATAACCATTGGATTTAGGTGGGCCTTATTTTCAATCACACCCATAGCATCATCGTGTCAAAAGGTCAATCTATTCGTGCCTGGGAAGATGTCAAAGAGACAATGCGCTCCTTCAGTCTGCAAGACTTCCATGCTGCACGACTCAAAACAAAGATATTTGCCCAGCTCCAGTGCAATGCTTCACTTGACTATCTACCTGTCCTGCAAGTCGGCACCAGACTCCTACTTCAAATGAGGCACGGACGCAGTTGACAATGGACTGAAAGCTGCCAAAAGGAGATGACGAACCAAACTAACAAAGAGACTAGAAACGACCAAACCCTCCACTCCTCAGCAAAGCGAATTATGCACAAAAGCACCAGGCGAACAGGCCTGGGTGAAGAAGATCCGAAAAAAAACAAAGAGTATCTACATTATCTACATCATTCATCATCATGCTGCACCCGCAGAATGAATGTCTTTCATAAGCACGACACAATTGAAGAATTTGCAAGAGAGACTGCAGTAGGAGCCACCACCTCTCAAGCAATGACAAAGTCGTTCCATAAAGATCATAGAAACACCTTTTCGGGGGACGGAGAACCACATGTAAGCACCAAGTGATGTGCTTAAATGCGACCTCAAAGGTCGATCGCAACCACACTTTGTCCAGTACAAACATAGAAAGACCTCAGCGCGGAAAACCCACCCGGATCACCCGGGAGCGCTGTGGTGCCGGAATGACTTGGCTGGGTTCCCAACACCACAGCTGGTTGCAGACACAACATTCCCAACAACACCTCAGAGAAAATGAAGAAATTCTTCGATGTCATCACCAAGCATTCCTATGTAAAACAAAAGCTGGTGCTGATGGTTTCAAATCATGCTGCGTTTCAAGGGAAACAATGGGCGTGAATGAAAAACTGTCGCTTTTGTTTCCCGTTTACCTTCCCTTCGTGCATCTCACGTTGCATAAAACATGCATTTTGTGCATGACACAGTGCTGTGGAATGATTCAACTGAACATCAAGCATTCCTGGAAGCAAGGACCAGATTGCCAGTTCAAGTTGGAAATATTGTTCATGGGTTGACCACAGCAAATCCCCTTGCATCATTTTTGTTGGTTCTTAAGCAACCCTGCAATATTGCACCAATTGCACCAATATCATGGTAAATTGCAGCATGTTTCAGCCCAAGAAACTGAACCATGACACAGTTCTGAGAAGGCTGGTGGCTGCCACTGGATTGCGGCGCACCACCTGCCACAACACTGCCCTGGTGGTGCTGCGGAATCCAGTCGTGGTTGTGCCCTGCAGGCCTCGACCAAATTGTCATGAACGGAATCAGAGGCACTTCCGAAGAAGAAGCCACTGACTTTGTCGGAGATACGAAGCCTCGAAGTCTGTCAGGAATCAGAGGATCTCAGAATGTAACATGCAAAATGGATCAAAATGCTGCATGAACAGCAATCTGCTGACCATGTGACAAACATTGACAAACTCCATACACCACAACATTCCCACGTACCTGTTTTACCCCAAGCCGCTGACATGCTTTGCTGTAGAAGGCTACGTTTTGGTGAAGGCCTGCAACCACAGGGCCATGCTGTCGGTGCAAAGATGGATAGCCCGGATAGCGCTCTGAGGCAAAGACTCTTGATCCCGTGACCCACGGACAAGATTTGAGAATCTCGCAAACGTGTGAACTTGCCTCAAGATCTTTGCGCCACCAACACTTAACACTCAAAAATACTAGAGACCTGTGGCAAAAATATGACAAGCTGCAACAGGCTGCAAGGCTTGTGTGTCTGAGACTGGGACATTTCTGCAATCAAACGAACAGACAAACAGACAGTTGGCAGAGTCTCTAAGACTGTGCTTTGGCTCACTAAATTGAGCCAACTGTCAGTCACAGTCGTCTTAAGGAGAAGAAGTCAGAAGTCCAGCAGAAATAGATATATTACTTAATGTTATGTATGTATGTGCATTCATATTTAATTCAAGTATGATTATATCAATATATGTTTCTCTGCCTGTGTATGTATCTGCATCTGCCTGTATCAATATGTACCTGAAGAATGGTCAGATACGTGCATCCTTTGCAGATAAAAAGGATCATATAAAAAGGTACATTTGCAACTCCTTCCCATTGAGACATTGCTGGAAAAGTCTGCCACAGCTTTCCGGAAGAAGTCATGCGGCTATGCTCAATTTTGCTGGGCGCAATTCACGCAAGCTTAAGCACACCTTGTGTCACTGGGCTCACAGGCCACAGTGGCATGCATTGTACAACCCAGCGTTGTGGTGTTGCCCAACGGTGTTGGAAAGTGCCAGACACACACGCGGCGTCCAGTTGCTGGCGTCTTTCGCATATCTTGGCGAAATTGAGCCCAGCCGAAGCGTGTTGCTGACTTGAAAGCTCTCGAGGTTAACTGCATTTGTTTCGGCACTGGCCTTTCTGAGATCCCAAATCTTTCGTCTATCAGGGTGACAAATGTGCTAAATTGACATATCAGGTCATGTTATGCAGCTGGTAGATGAATGTGCTGGATAATGGTGAATATTCTATGGGTGCTCGAATGGGTTACTTGTCTGTTTTCAATGGCCTAACACCAACTTCAGCTGCTCAACGTCGTCGAGCCTCAATTTCAGCTGCTCGCTTGTGGTACTGAATTGTGTTGCTTTTTTGGGGATCATCCCAGGGACAAAAAATCGAAAAAAAAAAAACAAAGTCTTTCCAACCCTTTGAAAACACCACAACCAGATACAACCAGTCACTAAATCACTAAGGTACTGGCAGGAGCAGAACCTGCTAGCTTGATGGTCTTGATCTTGCTGTGGATCTTATCGGCCATAGCTTGGTACCTTCACTCACACAGAAATCCCAGCTGTCCCTGTCATCGTGATGCGTAAGCGCGCCGCTTACGCTCTGTGGCAATCGCTGGGGAGCCAACTTTTCCCGCTGGCTGTCATCAAGCTCTGGGTTTTGAAGTTTGGTGAGGATGCTCCTGCGAGCTCTGTGATAGGACGAAATTTGAAATAGGTCAAAGAAATATGCGTTTGTCTGAAAATAAAGTGCTCCGGAATTCACTGATTAATCATCATGTTCCCTCCTCAAAATTGCTATTCGGCCTTGCCACATTCTCAGACACAGCAGGTCTGCTCGGTGCTGAGGATCTTGCTGCAATGTCTTTGTAAATTCTCCAAGAAGCTGCACCTGCCGTCGGGCAGCATCACCATCATCCCCACCATCAGCAGCAACAACACTGTCATCCAGGGTTGCACCCCTGACGCGGAAAAAGAATGTCAAAGAGCAATTTCATCAAACAAATCCAACAATCCAAAGTCCAAAGTAATTTTGATGTCATCATTCAAGCAAATCTGGAAGCTGATTATCAGGCATGTTTTATCTTTCAATGATTTGGAAAACCATTCATCCAGCATCTCAGTGGCCAAGTCCAACCCGCCTGCTGAGCCTCAGCACTGTGTGGAGGCGGCAATGTGTATGGCATCACCCGGGTCGTCGGCGCCTGCGACAGGAACTAGGGCGGATTCCTTGCTGCATATGATTTGTAAACAGAAATCTACGGACACATTGTAGAATGATGAATGATGTACAATGTAAGTTGTAGATGATATCAGTATGCTTCACCAGAGCTCATTTCACACCAAGACAACACCATCATGTCATTCCAAGGCCTTCGCAGTCACCTGGGTGAGCAAACTTCCAGAGTATGGATGCTTACAGAATTGAGGATTACAGGATACTGGTACTGCAGTGACTGCAGTGATGGAGCACAAACACATCCATTCGCCTTCGAAACAGGGCTCTTGATGGGACTGCTGACAGGAGCCTAACACGCAGCAAACACCAACCGGAATGGACGCATTGGCACTGCCACTCAGGCTACTCAAGCATGCTCGCCTTTGCTACTGGAGGTGTGATGTCGAAATTCGGGTTGGGCTGCAGCACCACTCGACTAGTGACAGCCACGTGCGGGCCTCAGATGTTCCTCTACAAGTCAACCTCTCTTGAGCTCTGGTACCAAAAATACTTGCACCTGCTTAGCACCACATGTGCTATGTATGACACGACTCGGATATGAACTGTGTTTTTTCTTTGTTGTACCAACCCTTAGGCCACAAAAAAAGGGTTGGTATCTGCATTGAGACCGCAGCCCTGGCGGACAGTCTTTGGTCCGGCAGATGCAGCCTCAACATTCTTCGCCAGGCGCGCTGTCCTGCTCAGGAAAACAATGGTAAACTATGATTGAAAACTGCACATTTGGCACTGCCATCACAATTTGAAAACAAATCATGCCAGTCCCATTTGTGTCTGGCGCTACACCTGGGCACAGTCAAGCATGAAAAATCGCCACGTTCTCTGGTGCATGCAGCTGAGCGCTGGGCCCCTGAGGTCAATTTGCTGGGCACCTGCAGCACTTGAACCATGCTCTCACCAGATCTCCCATTGATCTTGGAGGCTTCATCTCCGAACCCTTGACCATTGACCCTTGATGTCGGCCTTTGCCGCCTTGAGCACTTCTCAATGGCTTCAGCGGCTGCCCTCCGGGAACGAACGACCACTTGGAATCCTGCAGCTGCACTGAAGGTTGTCGATCCAGTTGTCTCGATGTCTGAAAGGGGCAGCCCAAACGCTCCTCCACCCATCTGACAAACGATTGTAGCAGCGCCTGGGCAGACTTAAAATGAGCAACTTGCTATTGAAGGCAAGCAAAAGACTTGACTACACTTCAATGAGTGCCTCAGTGCCCCAGAAACTCCAAAACCATTGTGCAAGCAGCACAATAACGCCAACGCCAATTGATGAGGCACTGGAATAGCCGGCCTTGTCTGAAAAGAACGCCTCCAACTCCCCTGATAGATGATCAGGTCCTTCAACCAGCATGAGAGGTGCTTTGAGAGGCAGCAGCCTACGAGTAGGTGAAAAAATAACCAAACAAAGCCTGCCTTTGTTCATTTGGGCAAGGACGACGATGTATTCGGCCAGAACCTGCCAGAAAATCGGCTGCCCAAGGACTCCATTAGTGGCTGATCATCATATTAGTAGTGTGGTAAACCCAATGCTATCATTCATAAACCATCCCCAACAAAAACCCTCCAAATTGGGAGGTTTATGGTATTTTGGGTTCACCACATCATATCTCACTTCTGCACCATCGACATCAATCGACTATACATTGTTACATATCTTGAATATATACATACATATATATATATACTGTAATTATACACCGGATAATTTCAGGTCCCAATCATATCAGTCCCACATATTTCAGGTGCCTCCGTTTATATTGGACTGATCCTCGAATCCGCACCTTGGGATCAACGTCCTTGTCACAAAGTGTTCGTAGCCTTTCCAACACTGCATCCTGGACATCCGGACAGGCGCTGATGGCACTCAACACAAGCACTACTGTAAAAGGAAATATCTCAAATTGTCTGCCTTCAAGTCTTTGAAAAGATGGAAAATCTAATGATCCCAATTTCATCCAATTTCTAGTTCGTTCTTTTCATCATCCATTTTGGATCATGACTTCCGTGTCCCCTTTCAACACGCCTGCAGGCCCATCTGATCCAGCTCAGATAGTTCCTTTGAAGAAACGTCGATGTCATTTGCTAAAGCAGACCTCTTCAAGGACCCTTACTGCAACCACTAAGGTTTCTGCTGGCTGTGTCGTTGGTGGTGCAGCCTCAAAAGAGCTTCCGGTCACTCGTTTCGTACTTCATATGCTATCTCTTACCTCCATCAAACTGCAAAGTTTTCTGCGCTTTTTCCACTCGACTTTTGATTCAACAAAGCTTCTGGCAGCTGGTGCTGATGGCTTTGGTGGCTTTTGTGTCTTTTCAGGTGCGGTTTTCTTGGCTTTCACCTCCACCAGTGCTTGGCAGAGCTGCTACCTTTGCTGTGGACAAGGTGATTCTGGCCTGTGCCGGAGCTGGAACTTCGGAAGTCTTCTTTGGCTTCGCCTGCGAGAAGGATATCATACTGGCGACCCTGCCTACATCTGGAAGTGACATCCCTGGCAGCTAAGGATGTGACAGGAGCTGTGGCGACACTAGAGCCATCATTTATTTTCTTGGCCTTGGCCTTGGATTTGGATGAGGAGAATCAGAAAAATGATGGTGACCATACTGACGATGATACAACCACGATACCACGATGTTGCAGTGCATGTTCACTTACGTGTCATTTACATGTGAAAGTCGATCCCTTCCAACTCTCAAACATGACTTTGGCCGCAGGCAGCTGGTGGTGCCAAAGCAGGTGGAGGAGCCGCTCGCTTCTTGACCTGGGAGGAGAACTCCCATCAAAACAGTTAGGGAATCCCTAACTGTACGAGGGTTGGATCTCCCAAAACATCCGAAAACATCCCAAGACATCCCAACTCTTTGAGGGTTGGATCACAGGATCTGGATCTGGGCACTTGGACCTTGCCGACTTTCACCGCTTCCTTCTTGGGAGACGCCGCTTTCGGCCTCTTTGGCACCTTCGCCGGCACCTTGGTGTCCACGGTGTCCACGGGGTGCACCGGCTGCAGCATCTTGGGCTCCGGACAACGGCAGGGGCCATGATTGGAGATGGGCTGGGTGAAGGGCTGCTGCTCCTATGACACAACAGGCTGTGAGGCTGCGAGTTCTGCAATACTCAAATGGGTTTGTCTCCAACTCGGGGATGTACCCTCATGGGGAAAATGAGGCTATAGAATCCTCGGAAATCTAGACTATATGATGATGGGATTCCTTTAATGCTCTTGAACCAACTCATGGTCCTGCTGTCACTCGAAGACTCAGAGTCACTCTCGGGAGCGCATTTGCCACCTGCAGAAGTGCATCATGCTGCAAAGGCTTCAAACACCACGCATATCATACATGAAATGGATCTATTTACTTTATTTCATTGTATACTATCATTGTATTACGAATAAATATATGACACATATGATATTATAATGTACCATACATACATACATTACATTACATTACATTACATTCCATTACATTGCAGTACATTACATTACATACATTACATACATTACATACATTACATACATTACATACATTACATACATTACATACATTACATGCATTACATGCATTACATACATTACATGCATTACATGCATTACATACATTACATACCATACCATACATACATTACATACATTACAGACATACGTACATACCATACCATACCATACCATACCATACATTACGTCACATCACATCACATCACATCACATCACATCACATTACATTACATACATTACATACATTACATACATTACATACATTACATACATTACATACATTACATACATTACATACATACACAACATTACATTACATTACATACATTACATTACATTCCATTACATTACATTAAATTACATTACATTACATTACACTACACTACACTACATTACATTACATTACATCCATTACATGCATTGCATACAATGCATACATTACATACATTACATACATACACAACATTACATACATTACATACATTACATACATTACATACATTACATACATTACATACATTACATATTACATACATTACATACATTACATACATTACATACATTACATATATAACATACATTTCATACATTACATACATTACATACATTACATACATTACATACATTACATACATTACATACATTACATACATTACATGCATTACATGCATTACATGTATTGCATACATTACATACATTACAATCATTACATACATTACATACATTACATTACATTACATTACATATAATACATACATTACATACATTACATACATTACATACATTACAGACATTACATACATTACATACATTACATACATTACATACATTACACACCTTACACACCTTACACACATTACACACATTACACACATTACACACATTACACACATTACGCACATTACATACATGCATTACATGCATTACATGCATTACATGCATTGCATGCATTGCATGCATTGCATGTGCTACATGCATACATACATTAAATACATTACATACATTACATACATTACATACATTACATACATACCATACATACATACATACCATACCATACCATACCATACCATACCATTACATTACATTACATTACATTACATACATACATACATACATAGCTAGCTACATAGATACATACATACATAGATACATAGATACATACATACGTAGATACATAGATACATAGATACATACATACATACATACATACATACATAGATACATACATACATACATACGTACATACGTACATAGTACATACGTACATACATACATACATACGTTACATACGTTACATACGTTACATACCTTGCATACATTGCATACATTGCATACATTGCATACATTGCATACATTACATACATTACATACATTACATACATTACATGCATTACATGCATTACATGCATTACATGCATTACATACATTACATTAAATTAAATTACATTACATTACACTACACTACATTACATTACATACATTACATGCATTACATACAATGCATAAATTACATACATTACATACATACACAACATTACAGAAAAAACATACATTACATACATTACATACATACATACATACATGCATACATGCATACATGCATACATGCATACATGCATACATACAAACATACAAACATACAAACATACAAACATACAAACATACAAACATACATACATACATAGATACATACATACATACATACATACATCCATGCATGCATGCATGCATGCATGCATGCATGCATACATACATACATACATACATTACATACATTACATACATCCATGCATACATACATACATACATACATTACATACATCCATGCGTACATGCATGTATTTCTTATATATATATATATACATATTATATGTTTATATTGTTATATGTATGTACACAGGTACAGGACCCTTGCAACCAAAAACCATTCCATACCCATCGACCTTACCACCAAACAGCCACAACTGACTTGCCTTTCTTCGTGGTCTTGTTCGGCGAGCCTTGGATTTGGATTTGACCCGCAATCCATGGCTATTTGGGTTTGCAAACAGGTAACCATGGGTAACCGAAAAAACTGGCTGATCGCCATTTTCCCATTGAAATGGCAATTTTTGGACCAAAAAAACATGTCAATGTAAAATATATGTGTAAAAATGATGATGAACCATGGGATGGGTGAAGCACCCAAAAGGTGCCATCGCTCTTCTAAGGAGCCAGCTGTGTTTGGTCCGGACAGGTTGCACCTTCTGCGCTACTGGCTGCGGTTTTCCCTGCTCCACCTTAGAAAATTTGGTCTCTGGTGTTTGGAATATGGTGGGTCAAATATGATTTTGTCCAGAAATGGATGGCCCATGTTTATGACAGTGGCAGTGATGATAAAGAATGGGACTTTAGGGTATGCTGTGCTTATCTATTCAGATATTTCTACGTAGCAGGATAACCTACAAAAAAGGCTGGTGACCAAAAAAACAAATATGACGCACACATCTGCTGGGCGCAGCAATGGCCCTCACCTGCGCTTCGGCGGCACGCTCCGTATTAGAGCCTGAAGTCGCGCACCAACAGGAAGGATGCCACCAGTCAGCAAAAATGTTTCCAGCTTCAGGCTCCAGCCTGATCGAGGATGCTCCGCACGTTCATGTCCAAGAAATTGCAACAAGCGGCCTCCACTTGGAAACCGCGTTGGCCGCTGGATGGCGATATGAGCGGGTGCCGAAACCCCATGATTTGTGTTCTATTCTGTCTTCTCTTTCTCCATCTCTTTCGCGAACCTCTCGCGATGTGGGGTTTGTCTTTCGCGGCATCCATGTGTCTGAAGTTCACTGGCGCGAGCTTTCACGGAAAATCCTGAAAAGAATCCCCTGTGCTCCCTAGCAAACACATACTGAACATTTGTTACCCACCACCTCCTCCTCCTCCTCCTCCTGCTCCTCCTCCTCCTCCTCGTCCTCCACTCCGCCCTCAACCGCGAGCTTCAAATCTCAGTGGGCACTGCCGGACCTCAACTGCGAGCCCCAGATTTCAGTGGGCACTGCCGGACCCCAACTGCAACAGCCAGATCTCAGTGGGCACTGCCACTCACTTATCAAATTTCGGGGCGGAGCCATCCCAGCTAGTCAAGGCGTTCGCAGAGCTTTCGCGAAGCTTTCGCGGATTTTCGGGTCACATCTATAGACATTTGTGAATAATGTTATCGTATGGGTCCAGATGCATCTGAGGAAGCTGTCTAAACATACCTACACCTGGATTTTGAACCTTGAAAGTCTCTTTCGCAAGCTTTCGCGGAAGCAAATCTTCGCAAAAGCTTTCGCGAATATTTCGCGAACGTGGTTTTAGCTTTTACGGAGCCATCTTACGTACAACAGCCCTTTAAATCTCCACATGGAGGTTTTGGCGGCTGGTCATTATTGCTGTTTACTAGCCATCAACATCTTTGCTGGTAGCCCCGTGAAAAACTTTGAAACGCAGAAACGCATTAGTCAGTTGGGATTTTCAGCCCAAAACAGCCCAAATAGATATGAAAATAGAAACTCTGTGAAACCGCCAGCCAGTTTTCCATCAAACACTGCGGTTGCTTCACCAAGAAAACAAAAAGGTCAAAAACGCCACGCGGACTCCGCGGACTCCGCTGCGCTCGGGTGCCTGCTGGTCCGCCAGGGATAGGCGCTGGCTTTGGTCGGTTTGAAGCTTTGGCAGTTGCCTTTGCTCCAGTGCGTCCTCTCTGCTCAGCTGCCTCGTTTCGAAGGAAACACGTTCAGAGACGGAGACATTAGAGATGTTCTTTTCATTGAAGGTCAATGTCGGGATGATATGACCAACAATAACAGGGTGAATTGTATAAAAACTGGATAATGTCCCAGTTCATGGATTGGGATAATCCCAATATATTGAATAGTACACCCCCATATAATAATCAACTTATCAAGCAACAGGGATTTAGCGGCCAGTGCTCGAAGGTCAATGTGCCTGAGCTTTCACCAACACGACCTTGCGCTTCTTCTTGGCACGTTCTGGACTTGCGGAGCGCTTATTGCCTCGGCATGAACATGGAAAACAACTTATCCTCAGCCTGGGTGTCGTTCTCAAGCTGGATAAGTTCAGGACGCGCCATGCAGCAAAGTGGCGTGGTAAAACTCGAACACGGAACCGTTCAGCCCAAGCAAAAATGCTGCGAGCGGATGGCATAAGAATCTACCTTGACCAAACGTGCTGACAAACTCGAGCTGCTCCAACACTGGCATCGTAACATGAACAGAACCAGTCATCTTAGTTGTTCTTCTCATGTCTGCCTATGCACATCATGCTGGCAGGGAAGCTCATTTTTTGCACACCTGAGTCTGCCAATGCCAAAATGAATCCGCGTTCGCAGTGAAGCGAGGCACCATTTTCACTGCCATTGAGCTGCAGAAAGTGAAAATGCCGAATCCTATTTGGACCGGATACATGTGGATATGGCCAGAACCTTTTTTTGGCCTATCATTCCACAATTTGGGGAGATGAACATCCATAAATCCCAGCTATTTTGATGTTTAGATATGTTTAGTATGGTACCAGGCTTTTAACTCCATGCCATGTTGCCATGAGCTTTGCAGTGTCAAATGACACTTTCATTTCGCTTTCTGCAGCCTTCCGGCTTATTCAATGGTCTGCAAGGATTGCGCTAACATAGATTACCCCGGGCATGGATGCACTGGGCACAATGCACTTGTGCTGCTGCAGGCCTTTCCAATAGCTCTGATAGACCCTGTTGAACAAAAAGTTTTTATGGGTAACTGGTTTCTGAACCAAACCAAAGCCAGCTGTGAAATTCCTGCAGCAGCTGTGGGCCACGGGCGAACTCATGATTGCCCCGGTTTGAGGAAGCACCACAAACTGTGCGGGCCCAGAGCCCATGAGCTGAACCGCTCAAGAACCAAAGATCCATCCATTTTGATCAAGGATTCAGATTATCTTTCTATGAGGGTATCTTATCATGTTTTCTGTCGACGTAGCTGCTGTCCAAGAATCTCACCACTCAAGTTTCTTCGGGTCCAGCCTACAACTAGAATGGACCATCTTCGGAAAAGTCCAAGCGCGGCTCAGAACTTTGCGTTAACTCCTGCTCTCATCACGTCAAGCGCAAGTTGATACAAATGCGATGGAGGACAAATGACAGCACACCTAGAGTCAGCTCACACGAATGTCTTCTGCAAGTTACTCTCTTCCACATATAAAAATCATTAAAAATCAGCTCCCACATGTGCACATCTTCGATGACAAGACTTGAAAGACCCATATGCAGTCCATGGGATGTGGAAGATCTAGGGCTCCCATCACCCAATTTCTTACCTCGCATGGACACTGAATTGACTTGCTATCACTCCAGAAGCCCATCAAAAAAGTATGTGAAACCTTACCTAGACACAGTAAGGGCATCATACCACATCTACACGTGCATCACGGAGAGGTTTTGGTTGAGGGCTTGGCTCGGGTCAGCAGCACTACTGAGTTACTGGGACCCGCAGTGCCTCTGTCAGAATCGGAGTTGAGTGGAGCCAACTTAGCGGCAAGAAATTGACCATCTGTCTGTGCAAATGCACAGGAAGTGGGTTAAGTGCTTTGCAGCATCAGCAAAAGCCCGCCTATTCTATCTGTATGACCTGAACAGTTGTCCCACAATCGGAACCCGCAGCACTTAGAGTCCAAAGTGTTAAACTCCAATCCAGGAATGTTTCGCAAAAGTCCCATAGGCAGTTTCAATTGTCACATCCATGCAGCACACAGCATGGCATTCATAATGCCCAAAACAGGTTTCCCTCCTTGTTCAGGTTCAAGTTTGCGGTAAGTGGGCTACACTCATTAGGTACTCTCTGGTGAACTAACATAGCAATGGAAAATCACCATTTTTAATGGGAAAATCCACTATTTCAATGGCCATGTTCCATTGCTATGTGGAAAGTGTGAGAATCTGGGTCAGCTGCATACTTCTCATTATCTCTTTCTTAGGAGCTTGGTCAGCTTTCGCCTGGCAGCATCACATGCTGTGAGGTGGGTCTGTCTGTGTTCATTGGGTACCCCAAATCCCATAAATCCCATGGTTTCACATTGCTTTTCCCACTATTTTTGGAATATACATGAATAGACCATATTTTCAGACAGCCCCGAGATAATCTTCAAAAAGTTCTCAGGTTGGAGCAAATGGCCACAGTCAGGAGCAGAGGACGATTAGGACGAAAATCGGAAGTTGGAAACAGATAGAAACGGCATAAGTACCCTAAGTACCCAAGAATTTCATATGGGTATAGTGTACCCCTTTTTACCCAATGGTTAATGATCATTATCCCTATTAAATGGCTATTTGTTTGGGAATATGTCCCTTTGATCGCCTGTCGACACTAAGCGTGCTGCAGGCGCCTTTTCATGTACTTCAGCGAGGGTTTGAGGAGTCTCCTTGGAGAGATCCTTTCGCCTAAGAAATGCGTCACTGTGACTGCCACAAAAGCACTGAGAGGCCACCCTTCTGGACCCTGCCTTTGCGATTTCCACCCTTCTTTTCGAAGGTCCAGGACATCCTCTGCAGTCAACAAGTTCAATCATCTGACATGGTTGGTGCCAAAGCCATGCTGTTCAGTTTCACATGAGTCACATGAGCAATTCATGAGCCTGAAGCAGGCAGCGAACTCGACGGGGGACGCTCTTGTCAGCAGAAGCACGTTCGACCTGCCCCGGAGCACAAGTTGTACAGCTGGGCTGATTTGCTGCGACTGTCAGAACAGATCCGCCCTTGAGAAATCCTTATCGCTGTTCTCAAGCCCAACAGAATAGCTTCAGTGCCTCTGTGAAAACCGCTTGGAGTTCTCCGTGATGCTTCCAGCCTGGCAGATGGCCAGGCTGATGACGATTGACACTTCTCACTCACCATCAATCAGCTCCCAAACAAGGACAGCATCACTTGGATCGTCCAGAGCCACTCCAACTGTTTCCTAAGAGTTGCACTGGGCCAGAGGATGTGCAAAGTGCGCAGTCTGAGTCGTCATGGTCTGCATGGAAATCTTGGGATGTGGCAAGGAAAGTTGCCAGAGTTTCAAGTCGCTCTCCGCGGACTGCTGGATCATCGCCTGCCAACTCGGAGGCAACTGCTATGGCGATCTTGGGAGCCAACCTCAGTGGAGCTATGCTCAAGGCTTCGACGCTTCGAGGCTTCGACGCTTCGCGAACAGAGTCACTGGGCCACTGACATACCATGTCGGATCAGCTGACCCACAAGACGAATGTTTCCAAGCATCTTGGTTTTGTACCGGACCTGGTGGGTGCAAATGACGGCTTTGTCTAAAAGGAGTTGAAAAGATGGTTCCCCAAATTGTCCCAATTAATTGAAATGGCTTAAGAAATGGCCATAAAATGGGGCAGACCCCACTTTGAGACTTTCAGCCAGCTGCACTCAACTCCTTTCGGCCTGTGCTTCGTAGAGCTCATCGCCGGTCAAACCATCGAAGCCCTCAGGAGGCTCCAAATACCTGGATCTGACAGTCATCAAGTGACATCAAGTGAGAGTACACAAAATTAATTACCAAAAATAATATAAATATAATATAAATATAATATAAATATAATATAAATATAATATAAATATAATATAAATATAATAAGCTCTAGTCACTAGTCATCAAGTCCTACAAAATAACCGAAAAAACCTCGTGCAACAACGAACTTTGGTGGCCAAAGACAGAAGGGCACTGCTCGAAAGATGTCTGGCACTGATTACGCAGTACCCGTTTGAAGTTGCTTTGCGACCTGAAGTCAGGGAACTTTTTGAACCCGCTTCCCGATGCTGGTGGATGCTCGTGGTGGATGCTCGCCGCAGTGGCAAACAAAGCTCCGCACTCTGCAACATCCATGTTGTCAGTGAGCCACTTGTGAAGCTTGACACATAAGCTAACGTACCTAAGCCACAGAAATGGGCGCGGGCTCCCTGTTTGTTGTAGTTTGTTTCTCTTGCCTGCTTGCAACCAAGTCGCATGTTGATGAAGTGATGCTGCGTAGTGGCCTGAAATCAGCCCACCAGTCCGCTTCAGTTTGGTGTGTCTGAAATTAAGGTATGTTTACCCTCAAATCACCATTTTAGGGGGGATACACAATGATAGCATATGATTGATATGATAATTGGATATAATTGGAACTTGGGGGTACTATAATTACTATATATATATTATTACGGGCTAGTCCATTTTCAGACAACCCCATAGTACCCAGCTGGCCCAAAGTGTTCACAGAAGGTCATTCTTCCAGGCCGCCAGCTTGCCAGGTCGCCAGGCCTTCTCAAAAACCAGCTGCATGAGAAGAGGAATGCCGTGATTCGGTCGATTCGACTGCGCGATGAGATCGATAATCTGGTCCGACCTTGGGGTCGGATGCAAAATGGATGCAAAATGTTGCAGATAGATAAGATAGATAGGATAGATAGGATAGATAGGGCACTCCAAGGTCTTGAGATCCCAACAGTGTCTCGAATTTTTCGACCTGGGCAACGGCTACGTGCCTGCGATGTTAAAAACAAACTCAAAATCCACCTTTTTTAATGAGACGAGTCTGCGACAGTCAGTTTGTTGAGTGTAGACCGGATGCCCTTGACAAAAACATCATCCGAGCTTTCCTTGTTCAGCTCGGCCTTGTCAGGAGACTGTGAGGCCAAGAATCCAAAGCTTGGTTCCGAAAAGGATTCTAACATGCTCTAACTCTAAAATCTAGAGAAATGGGTTTGTCCAAAAATGGACTACCCAAAATCCAAACAGTCCATTAAAAATCACCGTAGAATAACATCAAACAAGGTGCACGGTATATTCCATTTCTGCCACGTTACAAGTTACAACGTTTCGCCATGTTTCGCCTTCCTTTTGGCCACTTGAGCTGCCCAAGAAGTGTCGCTAACCTGCGCTGGTCGTCACAGGTCATCAGTTACCAGTTGATACGTCTCGCAGTCGTCGCACAGTCGCCTCCAGTTTGGGAGGAGCTCGTACGGGCGCCTCAGGCTTTTCGCTTTTCTGAGGCTTCTCCTGGCAAGGCTGTCCTGTGGTTTTTTTGATCGCTTGGTTTTTGGGGGGATTCCACGATGAGATGATAGTCCTCAATATATCAAGGGTAGGGAAAGAACCCCTAGCTGATAATCCATCTGGGGCTTAGCAGCTGCTCAAATGACTTCTGGACCTGGCGAGCTTTTCATCTATGCACTCGTTTCCCAAGAGCATGCCTGTCCACTCCGCCGGCTCTGACTTTTTGAACCTTCGCGTCAGAAAATATCGGAAAATCGAAATGAAGATTTCGATCATTCACAAGCAAATTGAATGATATTGAATGGTTTCAAGTCTCAATAGAATGGTCCTGCGACGATGCAGGCCCACTGTGAATTTAGGATAAAAGCCCCAGCCAAAAGGAATGCACATCGGAAGCTGTTCCAAAGATACTATAAATAGGCAGATTAGGGTGGGCAGTCTTCGCTTTGGCCAAGGTTGAGGTAGGGTGTCCATACCCCGTAAGTGCTGCACGCGATCGCCAATCCTTGCCATTGCTCTCCTTCGGAGTCAAACATCAAGAGAGTTGCATGGGAGTTTGGGAATTCTGTTCGAGTGAACATCTGCCTCTGCAGAAACAATTGGAAGTCCATACTGCAAACTACACGGGTGCCATCAAAAAGCGTCCTCTCTCGTCTCAGACTCTGCACTTCTTCTCAGAAGCCAGTCCTTGAAAACATGCGACATCTTCACATGCGTCTTGTCTCAGAATTTGGGATCCCCAAAATCCATCATTCAGATGGCTATAAAGTGGGCCAGTGGGTACATGAATCCCCCATTTTGAGGCATCCCAGCACTTTGCTCAGGTCCCTCACTGGAGGCTTCTCCAGATCTGCCTTGCAGAGACGTGTAAGGGGGATTGGCCGGGGTGGCCGAAAATTCTAGACCCAAAACCCAGAAATAGTCGGGTCATTTCGATTGTATTCAATCATCATTAATCATCCAAATGTTCGGTAAGGTAGTCTTGACCCACACCCATGTGAACCACCCACTGTACGAATGGACTCCAGGATTTCACGTCACTATCAGGATTCCAGACAACTCTATGGAGCAATAAGCCACAACCTTGTCAATCCCCCATATTATCCATATTGGGGTTCTCTGACATTTCGCACCCGCGAAATTGCCGGGTGTCATGGCGACTTTCAAATCGCGCCTGAGTGCTCCAGCGAGGAAGCGAATCACTGGTTCCACTGCTAAACTCGGCTCCGACAGCACGCCTGGAGCATAGGTCAAGTCATTGGGTGCCCAATCATTGGATGATGAATACATGTTAATACCATATAATCATATAATACTATAGATATGGTTAGATGGTTAATACTAATACTAATACTATATAAACTATAAACTCAAATCTGTGGTCCTGTAGGGCTTCAATTTTGACTCCCCGCATAGCTTTGGTCGAAAGAACATACACTTTTTCGCTGGATTTTTGGCCGGAGAGTAAATAGATTTCTCCACATTATGGGCAAAGAATGAAGCCACTGACTCACAAAAAGGCTTACATAGAATTGGAGATCAGACCACTTCAAGGTGCAAAACAAGGAATGGTTTCGTCTGGGGTAGACAACTATACAATTTTTTAATCCAGACATCTTTTTCATCCCCTCGTCCACAAACTGGGTTTGTCTGACCTCTTGGCATCTGAACCATCTATGGAAGATTAAGTTTGAGGTTGCCTGCGGTTTGCCTCTGGAAACCTACAGTAATTCCTCTGAAGATTCTGAAGTATATAATTCCGTTCCTAAAGAAACGGACAGTATCCTTGTCTCATCACTCAGCAATTGGTTTTCAATGCCTAAATTCACTTGTCCAAGATATAATGTGTTAGGACTGAGAAAAAGTCAAAAAAAAGGACCGAGAGCTGAATTAGTTACAGGCACCTGACAGCGAGCATCAAGTCCAGGTCATACTTGCGAGTCTGATCAGCGCCGTTCACCTGTGGCGAATGGAACTGGAATCCAAAAGCTCCACAACGATGAGTGCAGCCGCCGGGGATTCATACTGGAATTCTCATCAGCTGGGATAAGCTCAAAATCATTGCTATACCAATGGTTGTTTATTAATAAATATGAAGAAAACATAATAAAACAAATCAAAGAAGGACCTGTCTGAGAGGTCTGGCGAGCAATTTCTCTCGCCTGACTCTGCTGTACACTGCTTTGAGTGCCTGGCCAGGTCATGGGCACAAATCACCGGGTAGAAGAAATGATCTGGCTGTAAAAGGCCTGGAGGTTTCTTATTCTTGCCTGAAAAAAGCCCTAACATCATCTCAAAAAATCGGTTAAAATGCATTCAGAATAGTCATTCTGAATAGTCATTCTGGGTATATCTATGGGGGGGTTCCAATCCATGGGGGTACCCCCAAATCATCTCACCTCCTCGAGTCATCTCTGTGGCGTCCTTTCCGATGTCCAGCTCGGGCTCGTCCTCATTCAGTCAATGGTTTTGAACCACTTGGGTTTATCAGATAAACATCTGAAAATGATGGGAAACCCACCAATTCAATCCAATTCACTGGTTCATGATGGTTAATGCTGATTTTCACCAAAATGACCATCATTTTGTGGTATGACCACTTTTTCAGACAGACACTTGAGTGGCTATCCCTCCAAAATTGCTTAGGCCATAGCCCAATGATCGGAGTACCCCCACTTGGATTGGTTTTTCGGCCCAAAAAACAGCTCCTCGGAAAAGGAATTGAATTCATCGCTGTCGGAGTCTTGATCGTGAATCTCCTGCATTGGGAAGTCTGAAGTCATTGGGAGATATTGGGAGTGGCCAGCTGTGAAATGGGAGTGGCCAGCCCCCATTTTCGGCACCTCCACGGGAGCTGTGCTAGTTAGACCTGCAAATGTGACATATTTGGCCCAAAGTGCTTGGAAAAACATGGATACAGTAAATATGCAAAAATCATTTCACAAAAATTCCTGAGTCAACAAGCTCAAAAACTCTTTGGTGGTTTCAACCCCCCAAAAGAACGTGAAAGTCACTCATCATCCCAAAAAATAGGCGAGCAAAGAGCAAGACTGAAAACAAAAGACACTCAAAAAACACTCAAAGAAGCTGAAGTGCCAAGTGCCAAGTGCCAAGCAGTGCTGAGAAATTTCAGATTTTTCTGAGTAGGTTGCTCTGCAAAGCCGAAGTGCCACCAGGAACCTCCAAGACCCCAGGATCCGGGGCACCTGCAAGGGTGGTGCATCGGCCATCTCTGTTATATTCACTTCTAGTTTGAAACTTGCAGGCAGATTCAAGTACCATGAAGTCTAATGAGTCTAATATAGTCTAATGAGCATACCTCAAGAAACCAAAACACTGTTTTTTCTTCCCGAATGCGTAGCAAGGGTTCCCGTTTCACTCTGGGGGTCTGGGGGTTGAGGGTGTGTTCGCTCGACGTTGCGTTCGCGAGCGCAACCGTTCGCAGCCGTTCGCAACCGTTCGCGCGATCCCCGTATGGCCGTGCCTATGGGAAGTTCTGCAGAGGTGGTCATTTTTGGAGGTTTCAGACGTGTCGTTGCTTCGTTTCGCGTGGCAGGCGTGGCACTTCGTGACATTCAGACGTGTTCTGCAACGTGTCGAAAGTCGTTTTGCGTGGCAGGCGCAATACTTTTGCGACGTTTTCAGAAGATGTGTTGCAGTTTTCGTGGCGGGCGCAGCACTTTGGGCGTGTCCATCGTCATTTTTCGTGGCAGGCGCAGCACTTTAGACGTGTCGCGTTGCGTGTTTTTTGTAAATCGCATTGGCAGGGCTGCGTCAAGTGGTGACAAGGTGCAAATTCCGTGGCAGGCGTGGCATTTTCTGACATGTGTTGAAAATTGACGGAAGCCTCGCACGAAGCATCGATTTTGAGGTTACAAATTTTCAGGTTCTAAGGAAAACTCGTAGGAAAACGTCGATTTTGGCGCTGCAAAGTATGAAAATTGGAGGAAGTCTCGCACGAAATGGTCGTTTTGGTGCTCCCACCTGTCTCGTCTCGAGTCTCTGGTTTTCCTGTGGCCTCGCCGTGTCTATGGGGGAAGCTGCAAAACTTGTCCTTTTGTCATGTTGCCAACTGTGAAAATTGGAGGAAGTTTCGTACGAAATGCTGGTTTTTCTGCATTCACGTGTCTTGTGTCGAGTCGCTGGTTTTCCTGTGGCGTCGCCGTGTCTATGGGGGAAGCTGGAAAACCTCTCCGATTCGAATGTGTCCAAGCAGGTTGTCATGTCGTTTTGCGTGGCAGGCGTGGCACTTTGTGACATTCCAAGCTGTTTGATAACGTGCTGAAAATGACAAAATTTGGAGGAAGTCTCGCACGAAATGCTCGTTTTTCTGCATCCATCCGTCTCGTCTCGAGTCTCTGGTTTTTCCTGAGGCGTCGCCGTGTCTATGGGGGAAGCCGCAAAATCTATCCTTTTCGAAGGTTTCCAAGCAGGTTGTCATGTCGTTTTGCGTGGCAGGCGTGGCACTTTCCTCACTCCACACTCCACACTTTACACTCCTCACTTTACACTCCACACTCCACACTCTACACTTTCCACTCCAGACTCCACACTCTACACTTTACGCTCCACACTTTACACTCCTCACTCCACACTTTACACTCCACACTCCACACTTTACACTCCTCACTCCGCACTTTACACTCCACACTTCACACTCCACATTTTACACTCCACACTCCACATTTTACACTCCACACTCCACACTTTACACTCCACACTCCACACTTTACACTCCTCACACACTTTACACTCCACACTCCACACTTTACACTCCACACTCTACACACCACACTCTACACTTTCCACTCCAGACTCCACACTCTACACTTTACGCTCCACACTCCACACTTTACGCTCCACACTCCACACTTTACACTCCACACTCCACACTCCACACTTTACACTCCACACTCCACACTTTACACTCCACACTTTACACTCCTCACTCCACACCCCATGCTTTACACTCCTCACTCCGCACTTTACACTCCACACTTCACACTCCACACTTTCCACTCAACACTCCACACTCCACATTTTACACTCCACACTCCACACTTTACACTCCTCACTTTACACTCCACACTCCACACTCTACACTTTCCACTCCAGACTCCACACTCTACACTTTACGCTCCACACTCCACACTTTACACTCCTCACTCCACACTTTACACTCCACACTCCACTCTTTACACTCCTCACTCCACACCCCATGCTTTACACTCCTCACTCCGCACTTTACACTCCACACTTCAGACTCCACACTTTCCACTCAACACTCCACACTCCACATTTTACACTCCACACTCCACACTTTACACTCCTCACTCCACACTTTACACTCCTCACACACTTTACACTCCTCACTCCACACTTTACACTCCACACTTTACACTCCACACTCTACACACCACACTCTACACTTTCCACTCCAGACTCCACACTCTACACTTTACGCTCCACACTCCACACTTTACACTCCTCACTCCACACTCCACACTTTACACTCCACACCAAACACTTTACACTCCTCACTCCGCACTTTACACTGCACACTTCACACTCCACACTTTCCACTCAACACTCCACACTCCACACTTTACACTCCACACTTTACACTCCTCACTCCACGCTTTACACTCCACACTTTACACTCCACACTCTACACTTTACACTCCACACTTTCCACTCCACACTCCACACTCTACACTTTACAGTCTACACTATACACTCTGCACTCCACACTTTACACTTTACACTCCACGATTTCCACTTTACACTCCTCACTTTACACTCCACACTCCACACTTTACACTCCACACTTTACACTCCACACTCCACACTTTACACTCCTCACTCCACACTTTACACTCCACACTTTACACTCCACATTTTACACTCCACACTCCACACTCTACACACCACACTCTACACTTTCCATACTCCTCACTCCTCACTCCACACTTTACACTCCTCACTTTACACTCAACACTCCACACTCCACATTTTACACTCCACACTCCACACTTTACACTCCTCACTTTACACTCTACACTCCGCACTCTACACTTTACACTCCATACTCCACACTCTACACTTTACACTCCACACTTTGCACTTTACATTCCTCACTCCACACTCTACACTCTACACTCCACACTCCACACTCTACACTCCACACTCTACACTTTACACTCCATACTCCACACTCTACAATTTACACTCCGCATTTTACACTTTACACACTCTACACTCCCCACTCCACACTTTACACTCCACACTCCTTACTTCACACTCCCTACTCCACACTCTACACTCCACACTCTACACTTTACACTCCATACTCCACACTCTACAATTTACACTCCGCATTCTACACTTTACACACTCTACACTCCCCACTCCACACTTTACACTCCACACTCCTTGCTTCACACTCCCTACTCCACACTCCACACTCCACACTTTACACTCCATACTCCACACTCTACAATTTACACTCCGCATTCTACACTTTACATACTCTACACTCCCCACTCCACACTTTACACTCCACACTCCTACTTCACACTCCACACTCCACACTCTACACTTTCCACTCCACACTGCAGACTGGTAACAAGGGAAACATGTACAAGACTGTTCAAATAAACTATTGCAGAAAGGTATTGTGCGTCACTGCATAACCATGTGTTTTGACATCTGTACCATTAACATACGTGTGAGCATTCGGGTTCGTGGGCTTCATCTTGTTTCTGTTTTTTTCACGTATCTGCAGTCTACTTCCTGCTTTCTGCGGTGTTTTCCTTATGACTCACCTGGTCACCTACCGGACCTACCAAACACGGGATGAGGCCTGCATGGTCAGCACCTTGGGATGGTTTCGGCTCGTCGACATCCTCCTCCTCTTCTGGCTCTGAACTGCTCTCCGATGAACTCAGAGCGCCGCTTCAATGAATTGCTTGGGAAAATCATTGAACATCTACAATTTCTGCTTCTTTAGCCACAACTTGGCCACAAATATATGTTTTTTCTGGAGGTAGTCCCTTCAACCAAACCAATGAGAGGAAAACATCCTTTCATGGATATGAAGAGTGTGTGTGTGTGAAAGCTTCAAACTTGGCGCATCAGTGAGGTGTTGCCATCATCACCAATTCAGCATATGCAAAGGCTCAAACTCGGTGGAGTAGGCGTCCTCATTGAACACACAACCTTGAGCACCGACCCCACCCACTCCTGACAGGACAATGGGACGTGAACAAACTTCTGCCAAAATTGATCCTTTCAAATATGCGGGAAAAAGTCATACATGAATGGCACTCATGCTCAGCCTTGGCCTTGCCACGCAAGATTTGGATCTCCGTAGCCATTGTAATAGCCTAGCTCCAACGGCCAGCCCAAACAGAGCTGGACACCCAAATGGCCGACAGCCCTAAGGCCCAAACCCCAGTCTTGCCGGGTCCCTCCCCAAGCAATGCCGTTGCTGGCCATCTCAGCGTTCCAGCGTCCACCCTAGGCTTGGACTGTTGATTCCTTGAACTCACATTCTCCCAGTAACAGATGATATGGGTGTGTCTGAAAATGGGATATACACCGACAATGGCTATCTTAAGAGGGGAAACAATGATTAACCAGTGGATTTAGGGATTCCCTATTATCCGACAAACCCATATCTTGACAAGTTTTGATACATCTTTCAGGCATCCAACTTTCCAGCTGGGAAGCGCACATTCCATCCCCAAGGCTGACCAGCACCTGGCACACAGCCAACAGAACTCGGCTGACTGTGCAAGTCACCAGGTGATGCCCATGTTTCAATTTGGATGCTTTAGGTCCCTGTCGAAAAATTGTGTTCAGAATTTTGACCAGCTACCATTTTCGAACAGTCCCCGATTGTCCACAAGTTGACAATGAGTACAAACAAGCCGCTGATTTACTAGTGGAATTCATGACTTCTGTGTGTCTTTCTAGGGCAAAGCTATTCTTGACGTATGCACATTCTGGGGCAAAGCTATTCCTCTGTCATTGTGGGAGTACGGACACTCCCAAGTGAGATATAATTGATGATATATATCATATATATATATCCCATTGAACTCCTCCATTTTTGGTGCTTCACCGTGCTTAAACCACGAGAAAACGACGTGCCCGCGCACCTTCCGGCTTGAAGTCGGAGACAGGAACATATTCTGTCGCCTTTGACGACAGGGCCTGGAAAGTGCCTCCGCATCCAGGCCTCGGTCCCAGCACGTCCCAGCTATGCGCAGCTGTTATCCATGGGGGTACCCCATAAGAATCATCCAAGTCATTAAGCCATTTCTGTTATTGAAACTAATAGTTTTGGGGATCCCCCATTTTAAGAAACCCCCAATGAACTACTGAAACTGAAACTAATAGTTTTGGGATGTTTTGGGGATCCCCCATTTTAAGAAACCCCCAATGAACTACATGATACTACATGTAGAAAAGCACAATTAGGATCAATTAGACTCATGGAGAAGAACAAAGTAAATGTCCTGGATGATTGTGGATGATGCCATTCAGCAGTCATGACGCAGCAAAAAATCCCACTGGGATTCGGGCACAAACTCAGTGGCTTTAGCAGATAAGCCAGTATTCCCATCTCGCATCTCCTCGGCTCATGGTAGCTCTGCGGCCATCATTTGCCGTCTCTTGTATGGGTTTTGACGTGTATTTGCTCCCCGATTTTCCAACCTTTATTTGGGTCCCAGCTTCCACAAAAGCCAGTAGACTGGAACTCTGGCTCACGGTTTTCAAGGGACATCTGAGATCATAACACTCATCCACAGCTTTTGGTCGGCCCGCAGCGTGCAGATCCTACAAAGGGTGCAAGGTTCGGCATGGAGACACAGCGAAGAGATCGTCACTGCATGTTGAATTAGAGGGACAAGCCAATGCAAAGCAATTCAAGAAGAAGTGTGCTGGTCGCAATGCACACAAGTTGGCAATCCTGTCCTCTCATATAAATTGCCTTCGGCAACCATGTACCAAAACGTCTCAGAGTGCTGGCCGAGTCAGTTCCCTCTATTTTTGAGCCAGCCAAAAAAACAAAGCCCCGCTTTGAGACCAGGAAAGTTTGTAGAGTGCAGCTTATCCTCAAATCGTCAACTGAGATAAATTCAGACTCGCCAAGGTTGGTCAGCGTTCTTTTTGCAACTTCGCCGCAACTAGCTTTGGGCTTTGGAAACAAGTTCTATCTTTCAACTTTCGAAGCATTAGCTATGAAAATGTATACAGTTGGGCCCTGGACTTGGAAGGTTCCTGGAATACATTGGGTCTTCTTAAACCTTACGGCGATTTGAGGCCCAATGCGGTCCAGTCTTTACTGATTGCAATGTGCAATTTAGTCGAAAACATCTTCACAGTCCTAGACCCATCAATGAATCGTCTATTTACACTGCAGAGTACAGTCTTCGTGCTCCACAGATCAAGACCCGCGGAGCAACTCAGCATTGAACTTGTGGAGCATGGTCTGTGCACGGCTCAAAGTGCTGAAGAAAGGTCTAGAAAATCAAGAAAGAAAAACATCTGTTCACCCAAAATCCAGTGTGAGTTGGAGACTGAATTTCCTTATCAACACACCTAGGTGGAGAAGCCTGCAGGTTGGTTTTCTTACGCAAACCAGATCCACATCTGCCACATCTGCCACATCTAACACATCTGTCCCTGGATCTGCCCCTACCTGCCAGTGTTGCGACGCGAGGCAACCTTTGTGCTTCGACTGCACCTGGCTCACATTGTGTCATGGATGGTCTGGCTCGCAAGTCATATATTATCTAATGCAGTTGAACATTCCAATATATCTTCATACATGTTGATATGGATTCTGTTGTATTTCTATATATATATATATATCCATGCATATGAGACTATTTGATATTATTTGATAAAGTATTCAGCTTAAATCGTTTCTTAAACCATCCGATTTTCTCTGATCTGGGATTCAAAAAATATACCCAGCCCGGATCATGTCACCGTTGTAAAAGTTCAATGGCAACTTGGCGACTGGACGAGGCGCCTCAGATAGGGCTTTGTCCAATGACAGACCTTCATACTCCATGAGGTACCTCGCTTCAAAACCACGTCTCAGGCCATTCCCCGACTGTACAAACTGTACAACAAAATGGGCATTTCCACTTCAGTGATTCTGACTCTGGATAGTACATTGGAGAGAAAAAATTGGCCAGTGTATTTCCCCATCATCAACCAACCGGGGTTGGTAGCATGGTTTAGCATCCATTGCAAAGCATCACAAAGCACCGAGAGATAGTTCCAACGAAACCTTCGAGCGCCGCACGCGCAAACCAGAGCAGGGCTGCGAGACACCCCCTGTGGCCCAAACATCTGAAGAATCCAAAGTGTCTTCTAGGATGCGATCCAAGATGTTTCATGCTTTTTCTCATTTTTCTCAATATGCCCCTATGTAAGGCTTCTAAGGAAGAGCTTGAGTCCAGCCTGCACACAGTGCACAAGAAGTGTATTGCTGGCATTCTTTGCCTCGTCCCGCCACAGAAACATGGAGAATCGGGAGCTCTTGCACTAAGCCTTTGTGACTCTAGGCCATGCAGAATTACACATAATTACTGTCTCTGTTCCCACCTTCAAAGTGCTTTTGATGTATTGAGTTGCCCCTCGCAAGCTCCGAAATCTCTGCCTGAAACGTTCGAAAAATTGGAGTCTGTCAACAGCCGCGAGCTTGGAGAAAACATGCCCTATCTTTAACAGAATATGATATTCCTCCATAGCTTAAAACTAACCCCCTAAGCAGCCATTCACCAATCAGCTTCTCCAGATGTTGCACCTCGTCAAGCTTTGAGCCTCTTCTTCCCGGTCTTGCCAGGGCAGCAACAAGTACCTTATCATCACGACATGTCGTGGTTGCGTCGTGGTCATTCATCGAAAAAGGAAAACATCATGAGGTCACTGGATGCCTTTGGATTCGTAGGCCGGAGGTACTTTTTGTGCCTCCAGCTGCAAAAGTCATCTATATATAAATGAAATGGAAATCAACGTTGGCAAACTACTGCAAACTGTGGCCCATCAAATGATGATCATGTTCCAGCAAAGCAGCCTCCAGCGAGCAATTGATCACGTGGGTAATTCCAAGCCTCGTGGCCGCTCTATGAAGCTAAAGCCACTGAACTGAACTGGACAGGCAATTATGGCAATGAGCAAGTGGCCTCTTCAGCAAAGGCCAATAGGCTGCATCGGCCATGTTTCCAACGTACCTTCAGTCTCAGAAAGGTGCTGCAAGGGAAACACGCTTCAGCTTTTTGTGTCTGAAGCCCATTCTGTTTGCAGCCTCACATTCAAACGCGGTCTGAAAAGGTATCATTATATTGAATAGTTTTTTGGGGGGTTGGAAGGTTTGCTAGGTGAGATGTCGGCAGAGAGGGAGAGGGAGAGAGAGCTTCCCACATGCAAGGTGGTGTTTGTCTGTGTATGTCCGCGTATTGGAAGGACTAGCAGACAACCTCCTGGGAAATGACTTGAAGAACAATGCGGCAGCGTTTTACCCCAAGGCTCGTGCAGGTGAGGTCTGATCATGTCCGTGCGAAGGCTGTTCATCGTCGCAATGAAGCCCTGGAAAGGCTGCTCATCAGGGGAAAGGGAGCAAAGTGCGAACCAACTCTTGGTGACATCCACAAGTCCATGGATGCCCAAAGACCTCAGTCAACTCCCTTTCCTCTGATTCAGAGGGTCCTTTCAACTACAGAACTTCATCCAACATAGCAGGACTTTGATCTTTAACCAATTTACAAAACTCCGCAAATGTCAATGCTGGAGGTTACCACACCCATCAACTAAGCCTAAGCTTTACTGGAAAACAAAAAGGAAAACAGGGAGAGAAATCACTTTGGAAAGGCATTGGACATCTCAAACCCAAGGTCAACACCCCAGGTCCTCGTCTCGGTAGCCATAGAACTCAGCTATTCGTTGCTGGTCCTTTCAACGGCCGGAGAGGCAGGAAACATCAGGAAACACACCTTTTGGTTAAGGCGAAAAGACACTCCCACCCGCGTCCTCAGCACTGGCGAAAGCAAAGCCAGCCCTGATGGTCCGGGATGTTTCATGACTTTTCATGTTGGAGTTTTGATAGAGACGTGAGATCTGCATGCGTGGATGTGCAGGTGTGGAAATGGTGTACGGATATGGAAATTAGAATGGCGTCAGTGGGCCTGTGAGCCTCATCAGGTGCTGAAGAGCTCGGCTTTCCGTGCACCCTGTGGAAAAAGCCAGGCCCAAATAGAAAGTCTGTAGATCTCTTCGAGCCTTGATGTTGGTGATTGATGGTAGCTGATGGTAGTTGATGGTAGTTTAGTTGGTAGTTTGTTTGCTGACTTCACTCAGTTGCAAAAGTCGACGTTGCGCCTTCCAGCCTTCCACTCGTGCTTCATCAGATTGTCGGAGTCACTTCGACTTCCTGATAGGGCACTGGTTGAGCGATCGGAAAAGATGCAGTCCAAATGATTCCCATTGACAGTCCTTTCTTGTGCACCATTGATAGATCCAATCGCGGGACCTCATTGCTGGGACGATTCTAACGGCTGCTGGTTTTGCCACATGAAAAAAAAAAAAACGCTGAGAGCTCAACCTGTGGTGGTCTGGAGGCCTTCAAGCTCAGAGGGAGCTTGTTGCACAGGCTTCACAAATGGCCATGCTAAGGCCATGCTAAGATGTCGTGATGCCTTGGAAGAAATGGTGCTTTTACGATTCTGATGCTACAAAACCTTGGGCGTCATCAGTTCTACAGGCAAGATTGCAAGTGACCTAGAAACAGTGAAATCTGGGCCATAGGGCTGTGCAAAAGTGCTTGAAAGCCACTGTGTTTCAGCTGCCTTCTGCTTCTGCAGAGCACTACTCAATGGAGTGGAGGGATCTGCGTCTGGAACTTCTGCTGGCTCCTTGAAGAGTGGCTTAAATCGCCTGCTACATTTCACAAGGGCCCAAACCCCGGGGTCAGAAACATCATGTGGGGCTGTCAAAAAATGGTGATTTCCCAATGATCAAACCACTGGACTTTTAAGAGACAAACATCATTTGCTGTCCTCTTCCTTCTCGATGGAAAGCTCAAGGGAGACCTCCGGCAATGCCGAGACGACCGGCTCACGTGGAGGTGGATCAAACCTGGCGAAGGTAAGTCAAACCTGGCCTCACAGCGTCCAAAGTCAAAGGGAAACCGGGAAACTTCGAAGATGACATTAGAATCATTAGAAATTGTATTTCATATGATTCATATCACTATGCAATGTCTGTGACACTGTACCCATATGTGTAAGATCTGCGTCTGGTATTGAAATCACTTCCTCAAAGATTCTCTTCATTGCCAGAACATTCAAGGGCATTCCTTCCATACTCTTGCCTCGCTGGTGTGATCGGCTTTTGCTCCAACCTCTGTCCTTTCCCTTCCTCTTTGGGCCTGCATTAGATGTCACAAAAACAACACAAAAACAAAAAAGAACTTGCAGCAGAACTTCATCTGGCTATGTCTGGAAAAAAAAAACAATCAATACCACATTATTATCATGATCATTAATACCACAATAATGATCTAGATGATCAATAATGATAAAAGTGATGATTAACTGACCTTATTGGGCAGCATTTTTTCAGACAAAACCATCTGCGAAACGAATCGATGAGGCGCCAACGTTGTCCCGAGGTTCATCGGCCGCTTGGCATTCCAACACCGTCGAAGGGTCGCCATGTGAGATGGGCGGACCTTCGTTCCAGGCTTAAAATGGGACGTGGGAAATGATATCATACTATACATATTAATTATTAAGATAGATATAATATATATATACATATATATATATATATGTATTTATGTATCTATATACATATGTATATACGTATATATCCGTGTATATATACATATATATATATATATATATGCACTTTGTAGAAGGCATCGTCTCCACATTGCACCTTGCACGATTCCTCTGCATTTGACCTCTGCAGGTCCGAAAGTTTGCCGAGTTCCCCACGGAATCTCCCAGTGCCGGCATTGCTCGACTGACACGGTATGAGGAGATCCACAACTCCACGACTGTGTCTGAAAATGGAGTATGTATCGTGGTGTATCGTGGTGTATCGTGGTGTATCGTGGTGTATACCCCAAATTTGTCATATTAACTGGGATGATGATAACTATGATAACCTACTACATGTTCGGGCACCCTATCAAACAAATCCAAACAGCTTTGGCCGGGGGCCAGGCCTCTCGGCAGAAAAAAATTGGACAAGCATTCAAGATTTTGAGGCTCTGTTCCAGTGTCTGATTTTTTCTTAGCTTATTTCTATCCGATTCGCTTCGCGGCCAAATCTATAGCTATGGCATCCCAACCTGGCGACGAGGCCATCAAAGGCGGCGCCATCCATCCCTTAGCGCTGGAAGCTCAGTCGCAGTCAGCGAGTCACGACTGGGTCCCTGGGTCCCTGGGTCCCGAACCCTGGCTCCGAACCTCATCTACCAGCGCGGAAATAGCCTGCAGGTGACTACAGATCATATAAAATGTGTATATTATCTGTGCATACAATGTCCTTATCTGCGGATTTAGCTATCTATTTAGCTGGCACCCCAAAGGAAAAATGGAGGTGCAAAAGACATATGTATATAGCGCCAGACATCTACATCCATTCCTGAAGGTTATCATTAGATTAGATGCGCGGATTTTTTTCTGCTACATCAGTGGGGGTTATCATCAATTATCCGTTTGGTTTTGTTCTAAGTAGGGGGTAAAGCACTACTTAGAACAAAATCCCCAACTTAGAACAGAAATCCCACACTTAGAACATTTTTTTCTAAGTAGACCTTCGGATCCCCCTACTTAGAACAAAACTACTCAGAACAAAAATTGTCATTGTTTGTTCTAAGTAAGGGTTAGAACAAAAAAAACGTGTGATTTTGGAAAACAATCTTGCTGATGCAAAACGAAGCTTTTAGTTGTTTATGTGTATATATATGTGTGTGTGTTATTGGTTATCTTGCGGGTGTACAGAAATGGGACTAACCACCAAATGTTATTGGGGGGAATATGGTGCATTAAAATTGTTCTAAGTGTGGGTTTCACCAACTGGTGAGGGTTTGCAATGGCTCTCGGGGCAATGCTTTTTCAGGGATGTCGGAAGAAAACCTAGTTCCTTTCATCTCTTTATATAAAATGTGGAGTGTGCTGTTTTCGCCTGAAACCCAAAAGAAACCCAACCAGGGATAACAATCAAGGGTTATTGGTATCCTGTAAGTTTGTTCTAAGTGTGGGTTTCACCAACTGGTGCGGGGTTTGCAATGGGTTTCGGGGCAATGTTGTACTAATATATCACATCAGTAAGTTCATCGGCAGCGGGTCCGTATCTTGGGCCCAAAACAACGTAAAACGCGCGAAATTAGACATGGTGTCAGGGGAATAACACACATAAAAGATCATGAAACCTGTTGTTTTGAATGGTAATGTTTGCCAAAATTGTTCTATAATGTTTTTTTTTCCAAGTGTGGGGTTCGGGCCGTTTTTGTTCTAAGTGTGGTGTTTTCTGTTCTAAGTGTGGATTTGGCAAATTTGTTCTAAGTGTGGGTTTCCTCGTGTGTTTTGATTTCCGATTTTTTTCCAAAATTTGTTCTAAGTAGTTGTCCGTCGCTATAATCTGTATATTTTTGTTGATATACATCAGCAGATCTATTTTGTTTATACGTCTACATGATTATATCATATAATACAATGTGTGTAATATATAATACAATATATATATAGTATGTATAATATATATTTAAAATAATAATAATAATGATATACAATATATAATATTATATATATATAATTAATATATATATATAATATAATATATATAATATAATATATATATAATATAATATATATAATATAATATATATAATATATAATATAATATAATATAATATATATATATATGTATAATGTATAATATATATATATATATATAATGTATATAATATATATATAATGTATATAATATATATATATAATATAATATATATATAATATATAATATATATAATATATATAATATATATAATATATATAATATATATATAATATATATAATATATATTATATATATTATATATATTATATATATAATATTATATATATAGTATGTATACATATATATATTATATATATAGTATGTATACATATATATATATTATATACATATATACATATATACATATATATATATATATATTTATATCACCCTCATAAAACCAACAGACCCAATGTTCTCGGAGTGTTGCCTCGCGAGGCAGTAGACCTCCCAGGCTCTGGAGCCATCGCTCCACCTGAGAACATCCAAGCATTACTAAGCTGAGCCAAGCTGTTTGTGTATAGAATGTTCATGAATTTTCTATACATATTTACTGTATATCTGTGTATTGTTCTCTATTGATCTTGTGAACATGTGTTTGAACTTTGCTGCCCAATTCTGTCTCATGATCACAGGGAATGAGGCAACAGCAACTGAAAGTACAGTGATTTTTCTGGCCAGGAACACATCAAGAGCCGAGAACAACGTGATATGATGATATGCAACATTATCATACATTGTCAACACCGTTTTCCACTTCCTATGAAGTCGGTCACGGAAAGCGAAAGGCAGTTGTTGATAGTTATGGTATGCCTCAGCAGGACTGAGCAGAGCCATTGCGGGTGGCCACGCTGGGCTACATCGGCTACATAGCTTGCAAGCCAATACACCTACAGGATCCTGCACGCTTTTCTTTCCAGCAAGAGTTTCTCCAAATGGCAGGCTCAAAAACAAATATGGCAGTGTGTCAAAACCTTGTACCCCTGGTGAACATCAAAATAGCTGGTAAATGGATGTTCATCCCACTAAAAATGGTATTAATAGGTATTGATCCATACCCATATGAATATGTCTGTAGAAGGTTGCCTTCATTGGCGCACTTTTGCAAACAAACCGAGGGTTCTGTGAGACTTTGTGACACGTTGAGAGAGGGTTAGCAGTCGTCAGCACATCTCACTTGGATGATCTGGCTTTACCTTACTTGCAGACACCAGCATCGTCGCATCGTGTTACTGCAAGGGAAAAAAATGCACGGATTACTTCCCCACGGATTGCAGACCTCCCAAGTGCATCCAAAGCACTTGGAGTTTGAAGGGATTCGAATATCTGATCCACAATGAACCGCAGCAAGTCCTGCAGAAATCTGCTTTGACAACAATTGAGTCAGTGCATTTTATACCGGAAGTCTCAAGAAATTCCTCGCTTCATTTTCCCAGTAAGAGAAGTGGCTGTGGATCGCACTTAGCATTTCGTTCATGCTTTCAAAAGCACTGACCTTCAGCAAGGCCAAGCCACCACAGGGCGGTCCAATTCCAAGCTACGACAAAGTTCAACAAATCTCTTCCTTTGACGAAGTGTGTATCCATTCAGAAAAGGCACCTGCAAAGCGTAGTCTACCCTATCCACGGTCACCACAGATTGCCGAGCAGGCTTCTCCTGAAATTTCAGGAAGCTGTCAGGGTAACAAGAAATTGGTTCGGATCGCGGTGCCTCGAAAAAGCTTGCTGGGTCCTGCCAAGATGGGTTGGTGCTTTCTGCATGCAGGTTTCAGTGTTCCTCACCATAAAAATCGTGCAGTGTTCAGTAAATAAATAATGTTCTGCTGGTCATGTCGAAATTGGAGAAGAGGTCGTTATGAACACAGCATCATCCTCTGTTGGCACCACCAAGACTTCTTCAAAGGTTTCTTGGCCCTGGCAAGCACCAAACCGTGTGGCTCATTGGCTCACTGACAGCTCTGAGAATGCAACAAACCAAGTTCGGATTTGCAAACTTGTCATCCACCCTTCCACACCTCCAAATCCCACATTCCACCGTCAGGGCTCTTTGACCTCCCAGGAGCCACAGGCATCATCTGGATGTGGCTGTGCCATGGCTGTGCCATGGGCAAATCTGGGCGCCAAACGCTGAGGTGGAGAACCAGCTCTTGATTTGGTGATTCCATCGCAATCCACCCTTGTGAGGCACTACCCTGCGGAAAAAACAACATGGCTGGAAGGAAGAACACAGGGAGCAAGACATAGCAAGACTTGCTAGGATTTCCTTGCTATATAATTATATAACTGGTAAAAGCATGGTAAAGTATGGTAAAGTGTTGCAAACTGCATGTAAAACTGGAAGCAGGCGAGGACCTTGGGTTCATAGAGGCATATGCCGGGTTCAGGAGTGGTTCAATCCGATACCTTGGCGGCTGGTTGACAGAACTCCGAAGCAGTGCAATGGGCATCTTGCGGGAAAGCTGCGCTATCGGATCATCTGGATGGAAAACATTGAACATCCTGCCACAGGTCTTATAAAAACTCATACAGCGCACCGCAAACTCCACCAGAGGTCCTCCATCCTCTGCCCTCACTCACTGCTGGCCATCGAACATCAAGCCCTCGAAAATACCTCAGCAAAGTCACCCAAGTCTCCATCTGTGGTCACTGGTCGTCTCATCGTTTTGGGCACCTGGATGCACGCTGCGCCTTCTGGGAAAGGCGGATGCTCAGGAACCTCACCATGTGAAACCAGGGGAGTCTCACCAGCAGCGCAGGTCATCACAGGTCTGTCTGGGTCTGGGACATACCCAGAGGGGAACCCACTGCAAAAAGGCATCGCGGCACAGGATGTTCGTAGGCAGCATGCCCTCACAGAAAAGGTCCCAGAGTGTGCAAAAAAAGGTGTACCCCGACCAAAGAAACTAGACATTTCAGCATGAGCGCAATGAACATCACAAGTGCCTCCTTTGGCCAGGGGAGCAATGTTGCCTTTGGCCATGTGATCCTTGCACGAGCAATCAAACAGTGAAACAATAGATCCGACGCTTGTCCATCATCAACTCTGGATTACTGAACATAAATAACATAAAACAACTCTGGATTACTGAACATAAATAACATAAAAGACTGTAAACATCTGTAAACTTTGGGCCCCGGGCTTTCAGTATCTTGATCCCTTTTCGGTCAATGCTACCAGGAGTGGCCACGTTTGCTGGCTTGGCCGGTGCAGAGACCATCGTCTTTTTCGGAGAGCCTGAAGTGTCCTGACACATCTCTGCGGTTTTTACTCGGTACCCTCTGGTAAATTAACATAGCTATGGAAAATCACCATTTTTCATGGAAAAGCTATGGAAAATGGTGATTTATAGTGGATTTTCCCATTGAAAATGGTGATTTTCCATAACTATGTTAAATTACCAGAGGGTAGTCACTCAAAAAGACTCAAAATCAAGGAAAAAAAATGCATCCATGAAGTCAGAGGGCCTTCGAAGGAGAGCAATGCAGGCCCTGAGGAAGTTTTTCCAACCCCTGGCGCTCAATGCCACTGGTGTCTGAATTTGATCTGTCAGCAATCCACGACATGCTCGGCTACGGAGCCTTCTGCATCAAGTCGAACATGATGACGGACCCCAGAGAATGTCCGATCACTGCAACCTGGCAGTCATAAAAGCCGCCATCAAACAAGTCGATTTCTCAAAAAATCATATCATACAAGTTAATCAGTCAATCAATGTTCACCACTGTTAATCAATCATGTTTTTTTATGTGTTTTTCACATACGTTATATGACTCCTATGACACTATTCCATGAGATCGGAAAGGCAAGCTTCACCATGCTTCACCTCACCGGAGTAGTCAGAGGTGCGCTCGGAGAAAAGCTTCCACAGGTTTGCCTCAGTCGTGTCGAGTCGTGTTATTTCCTGATGCAAAGAGGTTGTTCAATGATGTTTAATGAAGGCGTATGAAGGCGTGCAGTCTCCCTTTGAGAGCTCAGGAGATTGCCATCTTTCTCAGAAGTTCTTCGTGTATTCTTTCCCGCCATTGATCATCCTGCCAACAAATGCCCAAATGAGTTCTTTCTGCTCAACTCAAAGACATGCAAATCGGTCCAGATACACCATGACATCGGCCAGGGCAAAGTTCGCAAAGTCCCTCAAAGAGCTAACCTCACAATCTCTGCATTTATAGGGTTCATATGGGTTCATTGACCGCACCCACAACCATCAACCCGAATCAACCCTCTTCACTCTTCATCTGCTTCACCCATCTTCACCCCAGATCTCAGGAGACAACTGACTTCAAGGTCACATTCTTGAGGCGGTTGCCTTGCAGGAAGTTCAGAAGTACGGTCTTCTGATGTCTTCTGTCTCTGGAAACGAAAAGGCTGCGCTTTGATGGGCTTTGCCTAGCCTATTCCGACATCAACGTGAATGGGGCCGTACCTATGAAACACCGCAAAAAAAATGACAGATTGACAAGTGACAGAAAGTGGTTCTCCACAAGTGAATTGAAAAACATTTGAAAAAAAATCAAAGACATCGATCGTCCAGTTCACCACTCCAGTGGAAGGAATTCAATCCGGCCAGACGGCTGAGAGCCCTCAGCGAAGCAGCTGCCACACTTCGCCAAAAACATCGCTGCACAGTGCTGCAGGCTGTGCTGTACAGTGCTGCTCGGCCTCGCCCTGGCCCTGCTCTTCCATCCTTTCAAGTTGATACTTCATGGCCAGCTTCCGCACCCGTGAAACTTCCTGCGCTGGGACCCAGGGACGCGATAAGGGGAAAGGTTTGGCAAAGGCAAAGGATGGCAAAGGGTTCCTGTCGCGTCATGACAAGTTAACAAGTCCTTGAAAAATTGCGAATTTTCCCCCTGCTGGGCTCGATGGTATTGGCCAATGCCGTGGACCACAAAAGTCAAGCACCTAAGACGCTGGCGGCTTCAGTTGAGGAATTCGGATTCAAAGGAGTGCTTGTCCACTTTGGGCCGCAGCTCTACTCGGTTGGGAAGCTTGTCCACTTCGTTCTCCTTGACAAGTTTGGAGTCTTCAAGAACCATTGCTTTGTGTCCAACGCATGTCGAACCCATACATGATTCCTTCTCTCTCCTTCTGCTGTTTTCTCCTTTCAAGTCCATCTCTCTGTGCTTGCAAAACTTAAACTTACAGTCCTCCGCACTTTTCTCCTCGCCAGCCACCACCCAGTACCTGATGGCAAGTTCAACCAGAAACCCTAGATTTCCAGGGCTGGAGCTGCAAATCCACGATAATCCACGTACAAAAAAACATGGGGCACCCGCGCCAAACCATGTGCTTCTCCCCACTACCTCCACCTCTGGCCACCTCCTCCTGAACTGCAGTAAATAGCAATTCATCTCCTCAGTCGCAACAGAACAAAAACCTAAGTTTCTGGACAAAACAACACAAACCTGATTTTTGTTGCAAGCTCAGCCCCTGACCTTGGCTTTCATCCTCCCAGTTGTGAAAATGAGACCCAAAGAGCCACGCTCACGAGATGTTTCATTTGGACCGTTTCGACTCCCATCAGAATCCAGTCCTTTGTAGACTCGTCGGACTTTGGAACAACGCCCAACTGCCAGTGACATTTTCTCGTACAGAGCGATGTGTTCATCTCAGAATGGCACATGTCTGTCGCTTTCGGAATGATTGAGGCCCAGTCCACAGAATACCGCTTTTGACCGCTCCCGAAGAACATCGTCAACGTACCTTGCAAGAACATAGCTTCCTGGAGCTTCCTTCCTCTCCCACACACACTGCTGCCAAATACTAAGATCAGTGCTTGAGTCGTCCTCCACACCTTCTGGTGGCAAAGCCTGCCGCATCCAAAACTACTTGACTTGAATTTCTTGACGTCACCGAAGTCGTTGAAGTGCTCCGATGTTTAAAGTCTGTTTCTACTTCTACCAGGTGGCCTCGAAACGCACATCATCAGTTCCCCTGCAGAATCCAAAGCCAGAGAAGATGCGGAACTGCGTTCCATGCGACCCAATTTGTCCCCAAAGGTTTTCAGCCTGTTGACGGGCACCAACAATGAACCCTTTTCCTGCAGTGAAGAGCCGCAAACAACACTTTGGCGGATACGACAGTGCGGGCAAACCATGGTGTCACTGCACAGGTCCTTGGCACTTCTCAGGCGCTGAAAAGCTGTCTCCAAGCCCTGCAGGTGAGTCACAACATGTCACAACCCACAACTCGCTCCGGGACAACAGCAGCTGGGACCTCTGCATCCTCTTCTTCGTAAGGCACCCAAGGACCTCCAATCTTTCCTGAGAACATCTGACCACATTTCACCTGAAAACCATTGAAAACCCCTCCGCTTAGCCACGATGGCAGTTGAGTTCAAGGCCACGAAACCATGAACTGCGGATGCACCGACGTTCGGGTTCATCCCAATAAACCGCCCTAAGCACAGCAGAATACAGCAGATGCCAGATGATGCCAGGATGAAATCAACAAGATCTGACGCTCCAAATTCAGAAACCAAATCTGCCTCAGCACTCTTCGTTCCAAATCCACATCGTACCTGCCTTGGATGAACCATGTAACCATGACAGTGCACGGTGATGTGTGGAGAGCAGCTGCGATAAGGTTGCAGCCATGGTCCACCGGAACAGCTTTGGGTAACTCCTCCAGCACTCCAGCAATGAAATACAAAAAAAAATCGAAAAATACCGAAGATGCCAAAGGATCCAAAGGTAATCCCATCCCATGCCTTCACAGGGTCGCTGGACCAAATTTGGGGTTTTCCAAAGTCATGGGGGTACCCCAAGTCATTGTGCAAGTTATTGGTTATTATCAATGGGAAATCCAATGGTTTTGGGGTACCTCCGAATAGTAAATGTCCATTTGGAAGTCAAACCTTACCTCCAAACCCAAAGGTCAGCAGCTCCTTGCCAGCTGCACTCGCCAAGATCGCTTCAAGGCGTTCGGAATCTGCGCGTGGCAAGGGCACCCACTCCCACTTTCGCTCAGAAGATTGGCCCACGCTCTCCTATAGCACGGCAGGGTAAATTCCGGACAGGTTTTGAGGTAACCTGACTCTGGTCAATGATTCATCAATGATCTAGCAATGATCTAGCAGCAATGATTTATCAAATACATTCATCTCCAAAATGGAAAAGAATGGAAAGGTGCAAGTGTCCTGCGCCAGCCACAGATATGGCGATTGGGCACCTGGTGAGGAAGCCGAACCTGGTTGCGTTGAAGCTCAGAGCTATGGAATTTGCTGACAAAAAGTTACCTCTTGATGTTGCCATCGCTGCTGTGACAAAAACTTCTTTGCATTTCTTTGCCCTCTTTTGCATTGGCGGATCGCAGGGCATTTCGCCGAACCCAGTTTTTTTTAGCTAAAAGAAATCTTCCCAGATTCAGGACTGGATGCGATGTATGTACAACGGTCAAGTCTCAACCAGACTTCACCAGACTCAAAGCTGCAACCACCTCAGAGCAGCTCCAAAAACCATGGCACTGGATAGCACAACCACTCTGTTTGGGCATTGCTGGGCATTGCTGGGCATTGCTGGGTATTGCTGGGCATTCCGGCCAAACACCATCCGATGCAAGGTTCATGGTCCGATCTGGTGCGTTGAAGGTCTCTTTGAAAACAGCCATAGCCTCAATCATTCCAAACAGGTTCTTTCGAACTTTGTTTTGGCCATAGGGCCGAGAAGACCTGAATGAAAACAACCTCTCGAGCTATTGGGTGGCAGGCCACAGTTGGGAACATCCAGCTGAAGTCGTGGCCTCTCATCATGAGGGTCTATGAGACTTGGACAAAGATGACCAAGCCAGTCCGTGCACCCCTTCAATCAAGAAAAGAAAACCCAATAGAACCAGCATTGACCCCAAACTGCTTGGTATCACCAATGGTGATAGCCTCAAACCACCAATAGTTTTCATAGCTAGACAACGGGATTGGAGTTCTGGCTGTCCAGCTCTGAGTAACTGCCAGTTACTACCGCTACTTAGAAGTTTGCAGAGAAGTCCCAACAGAGCGCTGTTGGCAATCCATGCAACTAGCTGTATACATCTGAAGTTCGAAGCAATCAAGTAGTCTACGCGCTCACAAAGAGTGCCAGAGTCTTGTCGAGTTAGCATGAAACAAATTTACCCCCGACCCATCACCCTTCTACAAGTGAAAGCAAACTTACCAACCAAAAGAGAAAGATAACGTGCAACCTGCATGCTACAAGTAACACGACAAGGAGTTCCGAGCAAATCACATACATTGATATAGATTGGTCAAGTGAAGCCAGCGCCTGCAAGTTCAAAAATATCCTATGATGTATATACAGTACCTGAGAAGGGGTGGAACGAAAGCCAGCGCTTGCTTTTTGACTCGCGCGGGGGCGCGTGAAACTCCACCTCATCCATATGGCATGGCTCAAACATGAAGCGCCCCAACATCAACAATTGCTATCGGGTCATAATTTTCCAATCATTAAATGGACCTTTTTAGGGTAAACTCCGCGATTTTGTAACTTCTATGTCCAAATATGTTTCCTACAATGTACTGCGGCATTGTGAAAAGTTCTATCTCAAGTTCCGTAAATCCGCCTTTGGTTGCTCATTTATCTTAAAACAGCGCAAGTTTGCTCCCACCTATTGTAGATAAATAATACCCGCTTTTTTGTGTGAACAGTGGTCATGTGACCTCTCAAAGTCTAAATTGTTTTCTCCCCAGAATCGTGGTCCATGCTTCTCCGCGAAGTTCCGCAACATTTTGGCCGTACGGTGAGAAATCAAAACATAGCTCTACTCGCAAAATGGGCAGTGCAAACCCAAGACAATATTATAACATACGTAAGAAAGGGTATAAGGACGAATGAAAATCGAGGAAAACAATGCAAAACCCACGGGAAATATAGAACAGTGGCGAACATGCAGTCCAAATCAAAAGTATATATATTTAGGCCATTTACAGACCTGGGTACCCCCCCCCACCCCCCAAGGGTCTGGAAAATAGGTATTTTACAGGAAATGTCGCGGAATAGCATCATCCATGACATCGATAGAGATAATTGTTTGGCATCCCGGAAACTCTTCCCAGCTATCACACTCGCCAAACATCCCTTTTAAAAGGCACACATACTAGCACGGACGTACAGATGCATATCATTCCCGTCATTGCCATTAGAAGATTCAAATTCTTTCTCGATGTTTTAGTACAAGATTCACTTTTAGTTCCGTTTCAGCCTTCTCAGTACGGCCTCTTACAATGATATTACAGCATTTGTCTCCTAACCTAGGTGGCTCCTGGGCGCAATCTTCATTCCAATGCTTTGTGACAATAACCAGAGGCCTGGAGCCTATGCATCACTTGACAGTCGACTCAGTTCTAAACCGGAAAGACTATTCCTTCCGTTTACCAGTAGATCGTTTTTGTAGTTCTTATCACAAAACTACCAGAATCAGGGAGGCACCAAAAAACGTCAAACACTTTTAAGCATTATAAATACTCTAATCTGCAGGTTGTATTTATTTTTCTTACTCTGTGAACGAAATCACACTTTTCTAACTTCACACAGATTACCATGAAACCAATTTTTCCATGCAACTCCTAAAATCTTACAACTCATACATCTTTTTTCCTATACCATCCGCATCTTGCTCCAAGGTTTCATGGCAATGTCTTGTACGCGAGTCAGCCACTATTTCCTATCACCAAACTACATTGCTCATCATCTAACATTATCTACAGAAACCAAATCGGATTTCCTGCTCAACGTTTCCGCTCGTTAACATTGTCTTGGTTTTCACTATATTTTTAAAGCATTTTTAGATATAACATTTTCCTAGGTTTTCACTGTATTTTTCTAACATGTTACATGCCTCCTAGCATGTTCACGCGTGTCCTCCATGTTGTACTGTTTTCTACATCGTTTCCTCTAGTTGTTACAAGCATTTCCTAGCTTGTACACCGTTTTCCTAATATTGTCACAACTTTTCTCTTCCAGTTTCCACTGCTTTTTCTACCGTTTCCTGTGGTTACTTTCTTCTCTTTTGTAGGTTTTCACTATGTTTTGTCCAGCTTTTTTTATTACATGCTTCCTACCATTTTCACCGCTTTCCTCTATGGCTTTTTGTACCATTTCCTCTCGTTTCCTGCACTTCATGCATTTTCAATATATTTTTCCAAGAGTTTTACCCGTCTCCTTCAGTTTCCAATCGTTTTTGCACCATTTCCTCTGGTTGTTATCGCATTTTCCTGCACTTTCACTGTCTTTTTCCAGCATGTTTACTGCATCGTCATAGTTTGTTCCTAGCAGTCGCTCCGGGTTTCCTCCATGTTCCAACAGATTTTGCACCCTTTATTCTGGTTATTATCACATTTTCCTGCCAGGTTGTTATCACATTTTTCTTCACTGTATCTTTCCAGCATTTTCCAGTGGATTTTGCACGATTTCCTCTGATTGTTATCATGTTTTCCTGCAGTTTCTATATCCTCTTCGTGGGTTTTCAGTCTATTCATGCATTTTTAATCTATTTTTCCAAGATTATTACCCGTCTCCTTTTTGCACCATTTCCTCTGGTTTGCTGCATTTTCAATGTATTTTTCCAAGAGTTTTACCCGTCTCCTTCATTTTCCAATCGTTTTTGCACCATTTCCTCTGGTTGTTATTGCATTTTCCTGCACTTTCACTGTCTTTTTCCAACATGTTTACTGCATCGTCATAGTTTGTTCCTAGCAGTCACTCCGGTTTCCTCCATGTTCCGACAGATTTTGCATGGTTTGTTCCTAGCATTTTCCTCTGATCGTTATCATGCTTTCCTCAAGTTTCATTGTATTTTCCAATACATCCTCTTCGTGGGGTTTCAATATGTTTTATCCAGGTGATCTATCAGTTCTTTCACACCTTGGAAAGACGTCCCATTCACCAATCAAACGGAGGTACAGTCATCCGATCTGCTGCTCTCCAACACATCTCTTACTTTCATTCGGTACCATGATCACTCCACTTCTCCAACCCTCTAGCTTTTAACGTTCTCCACTTGCACTCGTCGCAATACATTTTCCTAGCGTTCTCAACACTTCTGCCACTACTTTCGAAACCCGGGGGGGGAAGCAGGTCTGTAAATTGCTATATTTTTGTCCACCAATTTCCAACACTTTTCCTCTTTTTTAACGTCGTTTTCGCAGATTTTCCTGCGCGCCACTGGTCTTTCCATCGTTTCCGCTCGTTAACATTGTCTTGGTTTTCACTATATTTTTTTAACATTTTCCTTGGTTTTCACTATATTTTTCTAACATGTTACATGCCTCCTAGCATGTTCACGCGTGTCCTCCATGTTGTACTGTTTTCTACATCGTTTCCTCTAGTTGTTACAAGCATTTCCTAGCTTGTACACCGTTTTCCTAATATTGTCACAACTTTTCTTCCAGTTTCCACTGCTTTTTCTACCGTTTCCTGTGGTTACTTTCTTCTCTTTTGTAGGTTTTCACTGTGTTTTGTCCAGCTTTTTTTATTACATGCTTCCTACCATTTTCACCGCTTTCCTCTATGGCTTTTTGTACCATTTCCTCTCGTTTCCTGCATTTCATGCATTTTCAATATATTTTTCCAAGAGTTTTACCCGTCTCCTTCAGTTTCCGATCGTTTTTGCACCATTTCCTCTGGTTGTTATCGCATTTTCCTGCACTTTCACTGTATTTTTCCAGCATGTTTACTGCATCGTCATAGTTTGTTCCTAGCAGTCGCTCCGGGTTTCCTCCATGTTCCAACAGATTTTGCACCCTTTATTCTGGTTGTTATCACATTTTCCTGCCAGGTTGTTATCACATTTTCCTTCACTGTATCTTTCCAGCATTTTCCAGTGGATTTTGCACGATTTCCTCTGATTGTTATCATGTTTTCCTGCAGTTTCTATATCCTCTTCGTGGGTTTTCAGTCTATTCATGCATTTTTAATCCTATTTTTCCAAGATTTTTACCCGTCTCCTTTTTGCACCATTTCCTCTGGTTTGCTGCATTTTCAATGTATTTTCCAAGAGTTTTACCCGTCTCCTTGATTTTTCCGATCGTTTTTGCACCATTTCCTCTGGTTGTTATCGCATTTTCCTGCACTTTCACTGTCTTTTTCCAACATGTTTACTGCATCGTCATAGTTTGTTCCTAGCAGTCACTCCGGTTTCCTCCATGTTCCAACAGATTTTGCATGGTTTGTTCCTAGCATTTTCCTCTGATCGTTATCATGTTTTCCTCAAGTTTTATTGTATTTTCCAATACATCCTCTTCGTGGGTTTTCAATATGTTTTGTCCAGCATTTTTTTACTACATGTTTCCTATCATTTTCACCTCTTTCCTCCATAGGTTTTTGCACCATTTCCTCTGGTTTCCTGCATGTTCATACCTTTTCAATGTTAATATTAATCCAAGAGTTTTACCTGTCTCCTTCATTTTCCGATCCTGTTTGCACCATTTCCTCTCGTTGTTATCACATTTTCCTGCACTTTCACTGTATTTTTCCAGCATGTTTACTGCATCGTCATGGTTTGCGCCTAGCATTCGCTCCGGTTTCCTCCATTTTCCAAGGGCTTTTCCATGGTTTGTTCCTCGCATTCGCTCCGTTTTCGTCCGTTTTCCAGGGGATTTTGTACGATTTCCTCTGATC